CACTTAACATAAACTTCCATTTGTGTCCATGGGTCCCTGAGTCACTGATGATCATGATTTCAAGAATGTTGGAAGAGTTCACTTTGTTAGTATTAAAGATTTAAAATCAAACTCTTATGTGGTGTAAATGTCTTTGTTCTGGGCTAAAACCAAATAAGGAACAATGAAAAGTACATGGAAACTTGAGTCAGATATTCCGGTTTATTTCCTTGGGGATCATCTGAAGCCACACTTAGAGCATTAATTCTAATTCAGTATCTGACCCCTTAATATACCTGTTTAATCCTCACTCTTCAATCCCCTTCAAACACGTCCACAAATATTTGTAGTTCTTCCAGTTCGGTCTCAGTCTCCAGCCCTGCATAATAACTTTTTTGCCACTTTGATTTGCATGAAAGTCATTAAAAATGAAGATTAGAAATGTGAAAAAATCCAACCGCAGGATTTCCATCTTTTCAGCTAATGAATACTAGATAGGAATCTATTTTCCCCAAAGAAAACTATCGCTCTTTTAACACCACAGCTTCCGGGTACAGTCACCAAACTGTAATGCAACCTTATGGCTTTAATAAACTGGAATCTAACTGACTCTTTACTGACAGAACCCCAGTTTAACTTCACTGTCACATCAATTTTTTCCACCCTTCTGTTCTTTTAGGCAAGGTTTCTACCTAACCAGCGAGGAAACATACTAGTGTGCTACCATGAGCCTTTCATCAGTTCACCCTCCCACTGCAATGCAAACAGCTTGAATTATTATAATCTACAGTCAATTATGCATGACCTATACTGCATTATTAATCAATTATCAGGTTTTAAGTTATGTTTAATGTGTTTCTGATTATTTGAGCTGTAGACAGCCAAGTAACATTGATTTAATTAGTGAACTTAACTAAATTGGGTCACAGAAATTCCAGGATCATTATTTGCCAGATCTTTTGTTCGGTGCTAAACAAATGATTTGAGGGTGAAATGGGATTAAAAGTCAAGAAAATATGTTTCTCTTGGCTGGTCCACTGCAGCCTCAGTGTTAATTGATGTTAAATCTCCAGAAACAAGCGTTGCTTTAGTGTCTCATATGTATTTCAGTCTCAGAGGATGAGGTTGTATTTAATATTCATATGGACCTTTTCCTTAGTTAGAAGAGAGCTGTTTGTGACCTTAATGAGAAAAGAATATTCATTATTGAACAGACACAGCAGTTAATGGTGTAGTTTAAATCTAATACCACAGATTATATTAAATACCATACCAGATGCCTATGGTATGGTGATTCACATAAAGCACCTCGATATTTGCTGAAAAGAGATGGTCTTGCTAAACAGTACATCTAATACTGGCCCTGTACATTGAGACAACAGTTCTCTCAAATATACCTCCTGGGTATGGGAAACCCAAAGAAATGGAACAAATTTTAGCTCAAGCAGGCACTTAAACCCGGATATTGCATAAATGTGTCACCACATCAGATACAATGCACACCATTTAACAGGACTTTGTTAGATGCAACATCAATATCTTGCCACCTTCACCATCTTATCAACAGCATCTACCTGCATGTTTGCTTGGTCAGACAGGGACAGTGGAAGCAACACTGACCACCAGTCAGAGAATAGTGGCTACCTAATGACAAAGGGTGACACCAGACACCAAATTATTCAGTATACATGATAGCAATGGCTAAAAATGACATGTACTCTAATGTGTCTGGTCTATGTCCTAGAAAATACCTAATCCCTTGCTCTCCGGATTGCACAAATGGTACCATTATTAATGTGCAAACTTGAGTTTCCATCAAACTGTCAATAATAGTTTGGCACTATTAATTATATGCTGGTAAAGATCAGTCTCCTGTCATTTCTAAAAGCCTACAACTTCTTAATTTATCATCACTATTATGACATATATTTATGAAACTATCATTAGGGTCCCTTACACATCCATTAAGAACAGCACTATAAATCTCTTGTCTATTTTATATTTGGCTCAGGGGGTTGAGAGCAGGATTCCATCCCTCACTGGAATGTCTACCTCTTTAACTGAAAAGCGAGATATCAGAACCCCTGAAAAGCCAAATGAACAATAGCAACTACCTGTATATGCTGGTATCATGGGAAAGTTTATTAAGAGGAATGTATGATCTGTCACATCTGGTAGCTCAGCTCATCATCTTTACACATTAAGCTGCAAAGATCTTAACATTCGGAAGGCCTTCTGTCCTTAATTTACAAATGAAGAGTTTTGTCTTAACATAAAACGCTTTTTAAAAGGAGAGTGAGCTCTCTCATGGTGTATCCTGCCTTGCGCCCTTTGCTTGCTGATATAGGTTCCAGCTCCCCCAAGACCCTGAATTGAAAGAAGCAGCTAGAAAATGAAGGGAGGGATGGTTGAATAAAAGAGAAAGAAGTACACTATTTCCAAACTGCCAGGATTAGAAACGAGTGAATTATATTAAAATTATTCACACTGTTCTAAGATTGTAATGAGTAATTAACTTCCATCATAGTAGTCTCTTTAATGCTTCACTTCGATTCAATTTCTCTCCTTTTAAAAGTCTAGATCCTGATGTTCACTTCCTCATATCTGCAAGGCATAAAGTCCAAACACACCATGCATTCCAAAGTATGTCAGTGTATGGCTCTCTGTATGTTGCTTTGAGGGTACAGAATGACCATATTTAGAACTAATTTAGAGGACTGAATTCCCAGAGGTCCTTATCCTGTACTGTATATAGTTCCACATGGCACTTTAATATCATAAAAAGGGAACAGCACCTCTGAGAATTAAAGAATGGTTTTGAGGGGCCAGATAACTTATAAAAGCTATAACAAGCAGAGATGAAGCACTATTTGATTGGCTAGGGAACTTTTACTTAAAATGTATAAAATGGGATCAAGCAGAAAAATTAAAAAGAGAAATTGAAAGGCTCAAAAGTACATTGCCGAAGGTCTGCAATTTTAAATGGTCTATTATTTAAATAGTAAAATAAAAATCCCATAAAACCTTTCAAAAGTTTGCAGTCTGCAATTCTGCAGTTTGCACAAGGATTTATTTGCACATAACTTGCATTATGAATTCCCAGTTTCTAAAGTCATGATGGTGAGTCAAAAGCACACACTGCATAAAAACTGCATATACAGTATTACTATACACAAACACATTAAAATGTAACAGATGACTATTGGAACCAATAACATTTGTTGCATTTTCGATGCCTCTCAATATAGAATACTTTTTATCCACTTTTGTGAATGAACTTTATTCTCTATTAAAAAAAAAATTGGGTATGATGAATCAAAAATAATTTTCAATAGAAAAATAAAAATCCCATAAAACCTTTCAAATGTTAAAGAAGATGTCAAGTACTATAATAGCTCTTTATTAAAAAATGCCACAACTGTCATTGCTAGGCTCCTAATCACATCATAATGGCACCCAGGCCACAGCTGAGCGAAAGCTTTTTCATTCCCTACAGGAATTGAGTTTGAGAACAAATATGGCAGTCTGATATGATAATAAATTCCTGCATTTCACTGTATACCATATGCAGAGTCTCTCTAGGGGAGTGCCAGGCATATGGCTCTCCTTAATATTAATTAGAGGGAGGGCAGGGGCCTGAGAAGCTGTCCCAGGCGCCATGGCCGGGTGGCAACTGAACCTCGCACCACGCCCCACTGGACTGGCACCAAACTTGATCTGCATGGCAGGAACAGGAGGTTAGCCAGTCTCTCTGCCTTCCTACTGGACTCCCACACATCCATCACCCAAGAGCACAGCTGAAACATGCTGATCCAGCTCACCACCTGTCCGATGGGACATACGGATGGGAAGATTTGTTAAAATGAAACCATTCCATTCTCAATCCTATTTAACTTTAAAAAGAGGCTAATAAGTATTAATAGTGATGACTGCAAAGGCAATCCTAAATACCCTTCTGTGTTTGTGAGCTGTGAAAATGTAATCTTTGTATCTTTTAAAAAAAATTAATCCTTAGACTTCAATACAATATCCAGTATTTTTGTCTTCAGTACTTCAGTAGAAAGTCTAAATGAGCTGTTAGGAATAAATAAAGGTGTATTCAACTCTGATAGGAAAAGTAAAGAGACCTAATATTTCAGTTGTGGAGCCTTTTTCAAGTGTTAGGTTAGACTTTTAGAGAGGATACTTAGGGTTAGGTGTCCACACCTGAAGAAGGCTCCATAGCCGAAAAGAAACGTCTTTTTTCCTTTCCTTTCAGCATGGAAAAAGACTTTACCTGCTCCTTTGCAGCCTATGCATGCTGACACAACTACCTACTCAAATGTTTAAATTAGGCTTTATAACCTCTGAAGCAAACTCTAAATGGAGCTTTTCGACAGAACAGTGTTGTTGATTGGTCCTCTCCATATTTGAAGAGTGTTCATGGTGCACATTATTACATTGTTGTATTACATACAGTACAACATCACAAATGCAAAAGATTTCACAGGGGATGTTGTCATTGTACAAATATTAATCATGAAAGGAGTGTTCTGAAACTATACACTCCCATCTGGAACCAGACTCTAGGTACATTGTTAAAAGACCCATATCCTGTCTACTAGATCCAAGAGTCGGAATCTTTATATCAGATGTTTAGAGACAATATTTCAACTAAGAGCTGGTGGATACTTTTATTTTAATGTAAAAAAAACAAACAAACACTGTAGGACTGTTCATGGTTTCTAATATACTGTAAATATAAACGTCACACCTAACTATACAATAACCACTTAAACTAACACTGTGGTTATCTAATGCACCAGCTGCTTCTGGGTTTGTGCAATGAGAGGAAATCAAATTAAACCTTCCAGGAGAGGAATTAATTAAAGAGTGAAAAATGGCAAAACTCACTGTACAAAGGAAAGGCCGATTCCTCCGTAAATCTCATCCAAGTCAACATCGCGGTTTAGTTTGAAAGAATGGGTCATCCGGCCCTGAGTGGCACCAGCGTGCTCCCGGAAGGGCTGCTGCGTACTCACGGAGCTGGTGCAGGTGCTTCCAGCTGCGCACCGCTGGGCAGGCCGTGATGGTGACGAGAGGACATGGGTTCCCAGCCAGGGTGGCGCACAGGGTCTGCTGCTGGAAGAACACCTTGCTGGGGTCCACCGACTGCTGCAGGAGCTGCAGGTGGGTCTGGAGTAGAAGAGCAATGGCATGCACTGAAGACTAAACAGCAGTTGACATCCATTTTCTAACCCCTTTATCCAAATCAGGGTAGTGGGGGAGCCAGAGCCTATCCCTGCAAGTAACGTGCACACGGCAGGATACACCGTGGGTGGGACGTCAATACATCGCAGTTTAATTATTATAATATACATATATAATATTAATTTACTGATGGAATTATTTTTTGCAAACTCCTATTAAACGTATACTAACCTAAAAGCAACAAGGACATTTGGCAGTTGATTAAGACATATGATATGATATAGTTACAATTCCTGCAAAAGTCTAATAAAATACTTCACAAAAGGCTAATTCTCAAATTTGAATGTGACAATCAAATGTGTGAATCTATGGTAATGAATTGACATGCACTGAAAAGTATTTCATTAATAAGGAAGCACTACATCATCTTTCAGGGCAAAAACTCTAATTGGACAGAAGTAGGCAATGGTGTATCGCAGGGATCTGTCTTGGGCCCACTGGCCTCAGGATCTGTCTTCCTGATGTATATCAATGGTTTAGATTCTGGTACAATTATAAAACTACTGTATTTAAATTTACAAATGATACAGTACAAAAACAGGGAATGACAAACACAGGAACAGCAGCAGAGGATTAAGAAAACATCTAGACAAAATGGACATGAACTAGTGATTATGAAAACATCCAGACAAGATGAACACGAACTAGGCACAAATGAACATGAATTGGTACAATCACATAAAGAAGGCTCTTGAGCTAATAGTAAATATGTATGTTACTATACATCCAGATGTAATAAACTGAAAGGGCTTTTAAATGGAAAAATCAAAAACCATTTAGATTTTAAAAGTACAGTATATACTGTATCAGACCTATTTACATGACAAATAGCAAGATATATTTTCTACAACTGAGGCCTTGATTAATTTTAGGTTTGTGTGCAATTTCCCCTTCAACAAACATGACAGACAAGAAACAATATTGAAGAACTGACTGTTAGAGCCTTCGCTTCTGAGACCTGCTCACTATGGTAATCTCAGAAATAATAAAGGAAGTTGATGGAAGGTTTTAGGGAAATTGCTTTCCAAAGAGGCTCCAAGGGTATCGTGACTAACTCACCCACTAGAAGTACTCATTAGCTGCACACATTTTGTCCTGTAGTCCAGACATCACTGTATCTAATCTGGAGTCTGTCATTAGCAAGCTATGACTGGGATTTCCCAAACAGTAACTCACCATTCATCACGTGCTGCTGGTTAGAAATGTACCAGTTTATTCACAATTTTCACCAGACACTGCCTTGATATTCTCGGAGCCTGAAAGCTTGTAGTGTTCTTAGTGAGAGACAATTAATCCTGTCCCTCCTGGAAAGCACTGTGGGACTTGCTATGTAAAGAAATAACAGATGCCCAATTTAAGAGGAAAATACCCATATTCCTACTTCATCACACCATTGGTGCTACATACTGTAAGCTATTGCCTGACAGATTAATGACTGCTGATTCCACAATTTTAAAATTAAGACTCTGAAGAGATCAGAGGTGCAGAGTTAATGTTGGAGAATAAGGCCCAAATACCTGAAGAGCAGTGTAGGTGTATGGGTAGTGGTAAGCCAGATAGCACACGTCATCTTCATGCTGAAAGGTCACAGTGAAGGTCAAGGTGTAGTAAGGGTGACTTTTCTGACCTCGGGCTGGTGGAGTGCATTGACAGGAATGGTTTCTACCCAACAAAAGATAAGAATCAAAACATTCATTGTTGCTGTTTCCCAGACACAAAACACTCCTGTAAAATTCCATGTTCACGTCTCTGTCTAGACAAAATGACCAGACATTTTATGCAATCTGGAGCAGTGTTCATTAACTCCTACTACAGTATATGTAGAAGGCACATGTAAAGTAGATGTGCACAATGCTGGCCTTTCAGCTCTGTCTCAGGATGTAATTAGCTTAATTTAACTTCAATCACTATAATCCGTCTCACTGTTAAAGGTCAGTTAAATAAGTGGTAATTTTAAGAAAAAATTGCAAGTAAGATACAACTGAAAAGTGCCAACGTTTCCTTCCCTTGGAATGTTCTGTCTTACCTAACCCTAAACCTACTAATATCTGTGGTAACAATACCTCTGCTGTAGTGTAACTGCATCTCTCGGTAGATGGAGCTCCTGTATGCACAGGAAATCCCACAGACAAACAGACAGGCAGTCAGACAGAGGCCTGCTCACCGGTAATAGCAGATCTCACTGCCCGTTCGCACCCAGTGAGGCCGGCCCTCCAGGGCTTCTCGCACAGAGTACAGGACAGGCTGCATTCCTAACCACAGAGGACACAAGCAAGACATTACTTAACACAGAGAAACCCTTCAGCACTCAGGTCAGCAAGAGGTTAGTCAACACCTTAAGTGATGTTAGTAGTTCAGGTGGGTAGCTGCGTCAGCATGCGTAGGCTGCAAAGGAACAAGTAATAGGTTTATTCCATTCACCTGAAGAAGGCTCCACGGCCGAAACATTGTGTTTTTTCTCTCTTCTTTTTTCAGCATGGAATAAACCTTTTACTTGTTCCTTTAGTGATGTTGTTCATGTACTCATTTATTCTCAATCCTGAAATTTAATCATTTAATACAGTATTTCAATAAAATAAAAGGTGGCTGGGCTTATTCTGTTGGAAGCACATGCATTATCTGCTACGGCTTCCCAGACTGTATGCTACAATGAGTTTCCGATTCAGTGAGTATATTATGCAACAGGACTGTGCTGTACACTGTGGCTTGTCAGATCACTCTAACCTGCATTCCTCTAATTTAAAGACTACCTGTGAATTTGTGATGTTTCACTCTATAAGCAGAAATTGTATTTTAAACACTTGATGTAGGCTTCACCCAAATGTGTTACAGTAGCTCTCAAAAACCATGACATGTTTCTTCAATGCACAGCACTAAAGACTGGTAATTGCATCACATAAAGCAGCCGCTAAAATTACTCATTCTATTAATGACCTACTGTAAACTAAGCAGATTCAGCATGAATCAAGGTGTAGATTCAATATTTTGTTTATTTTCTAAGAATGCATCAAAAACAAAATACCTGTATGAGTTTCAGAATTGTATGCTAAGTATAAGCAGAGCAATTGTCAGCATAGTTACATATAATGTGAGATGAAGTGAGGTCTGGACTTCCTGGTCATTAAAGATCCCCATGGGTCTGTCCATAAGGATAGGGGTGTTAGCCTGGTGTGCAGAATGGGATAAAGCCTACTCTAAGCCTGCACACTCTAGCATTCCAAAGGTTCTTCTTTATTTGATTGGCGATAAAGATTGTCGTTTCTCCACCCAATCTGCTGCGGAGTGTGGCTACAAGTTGTTAAAAGTGGGGGTGCCCTTCAGGTATGGATAAAGTGCCCCCCACCCCATGTAAAGCACTTTGCAAAAAGTGAACACTCCCTTTGGAAAAAAACTCTTCCTGTAACCTTTCAACATATTAAACTTCTTATAATTTATATTCAACCTCTCCTCCTTGCAGAATCTGTCCTTTTCCATCAGGTTGCCCCAGCTGAGCTGGTGATACACTTTTTTCAGCTTAAGCCATAAATGATCCAAGAGAGACTCTACTCCTAATATATCATATTTCAACTAATATTGATTTTTATTTCCTTGTTAAAGCAACTTTTTTCAAGCAAACGTCAAGAACATAAATAGTTTTAAAGGCTAATGTACCTTGCTCAGGATCCACTGTTGATCTTTGTTACTGTTTTCTTATGTATTATTGATGAAAAATGTAAGTAGCACATTTACAAGTGTATTCAATCAGTACAGAATGATAATGTGAAAATATACAAGCTGTGGCTGTGATTAAGTGACACCAAAGACTTTATTAAAGGTGTTATTGTCTTTATTACTCAACAAGGATGCCAATATACAACATGTACATTATACTGTGCTGGCAGGTTTGAAAGTACAATCAATGAGAGCTTCTTGTAGGAATGAACAAGAAAAGGGATTTAAAGGAATCCACATGACTAATTTACATCGTACTTGCCTTCTCTTTTACTGTGTGCACCTACCGTAATTAAACTGACTGTTGACTTTCTCACAGTTGACGATATTGAATCGGTAGGGCAGTCCAGCCTTCATTCCACTGACTTCAAAGTAAAACCACTGGTGATGGCTGGAGCTGTTGACGTCTGAGTTCAGAATCAGGTCATACTCACACCTGCACGGATGGGGAGTAGGTCATATAGTACAGCAAAACACACTGAAGCTACAGTCCAAACTGACTGAGAAAGTACATCACCAGTTTGTCTGGAAAATACATGTGGCATTGTTGTTGATTTTAAAGAATTAAGCAACTGTGTCAAGTCCCTACAAAATGTTCCCTCCTTCAGGCTGAACAGAAATTCTTTTCACCTAATCTGTCTGAAAACGACATTCCCTTAACACCAGGAATCAGTCCTATGGTTAGTAAAGATGTCACTTAACATGATTAAATCACAAGTTCAGAGGGAAATGTCTTCACTGTAACAGAGCACCTATTTTTTACATGAACACGCAAAGATGTGAATACAGGAAATTGAATGTTGATGCTGATACTTCAGAGACTAGAGACACATACAGTACAGTATATACTGTATACAGCCACCAGTACACTCTGTATACAGCTGGAGCTGCAGAGTGTGCCGGTATTCCGGACAAGAGAATCCCATAGGGAATACTGTACCTGCGGACTTGAACTGCTTTCCGCAGGTTTCCCGACTCGAACTGGGAGTAGAACCGGAGGGAGTCAGGATCATCTGCAGGGCTCTGCAAGCTGAGGAGGTCATGGGGAGAAGGAAGACCAGAAGAGTTAGGGAGGGAGAGAGGTAGGGAGCACAAAGGAAAACAAAATGTAACCAAAACGATACATTACTCTGCACCCCTTTTAGGTGAGACTGGGAGAGTGACATGAGTGCATACATGTACTGTATTTTCTCATTATTTTCCTGTCTGATTGAAGTTCCAGTGATTGCACAGTAGTGTATGGGTTTTGCACATAATATAATAAATACAGCAGCCTATCCTTACAGTATATGTCTATATAAGGTCACAATGTGTTTGTTTATTCTCATACTGTATGTCTTCATTTTTAGACTTTTAGTTTTGGTGTTCACCTTTATCCTGTTACCAATGCTGACAGAACTGCAATTGTATTTATTCAGCTAGCAAACCACTTAAACTCCCGATCGTGAGTTGTAACTTACTACCCTATTTTACCTAACATATTACCTATCTCTTTGAAATATCTGTTAGCATTCATTGCATACTGTAGCCTGGTGGCTTTCAGGCAAAATGAGCAGATACAGAAATGTCCTCATCAGCCCAGAAACCTGCTCACAAAGTACCAGCAAGCCATCAAATAAAAGAAGATCTAAGTTACTCAACTACAATTTTTGTTATGGGATATTGTTCAGTATATGTAAAAAATGCAAGCTCAGCAAAAGCATCCTCTTTGACTAGAACATAAAAAATAAACATGAATATTAGATGCTGCAGTTAATTATGAAAGAAACATAACAGCGTATTCTGTACCATGAGGCAGCTTTGGAATGAAAATCAATTACAGTCTCTTAGGACTGATTGTTCAGCTTCCATCACTAATGGAATACCTTGCGATTAGAGAGGCGTGATGGGAAAATATTCATAAGCCCTCATGCCCTCTTCAGGGAAGTTCATTTTCAGGAGTGGCTTTGACAATGAAATCTCAGCTCCTCCAGGAATTTCTTTAGAGAATACTTTCTCCTGCATAGGCAACACACCAGGCACTGTAGATTGAGCTGTAAACATTGTGCTTTATTTCTTTTTCTAAGCCTTGCTCTTGGTTCTTGTGCCGAAAATAATTGACATGCCACCACTGAAACAGAATTTTTTGCTTTATTATTTTCATTGGTCAGTAAATTTCAGAAATATGAAAGTTAATTTTGTATGTGTCATTCCAGCCAAGTCTTTCCCAGAGTTGCTTGTTTTGCATCTCTCATTCCTCAGCCCTCCAGCAGCTCCTTGACGCACTCTGTCCAGCTTGTGGGGTCTAACTACCTTTTCCTTCCTATAGCCAAAACTCTACTGCAAATTAATCACCATTAAACACTCAAAATTTGGGTCCATCCAAAGATAGTGAAATCTTTGTTTCTTAGTCTTTACTATATATGATTTTGATTACTTTTAAAAATATAATACTGCGCACTTCTGCGAGTTTTTTGGACAGTTAACATTCAGAGATGAATGAGAGCTTCAGTGTGGGCTGGTGCTCTGGTGACTTTGACACGAGCTGAGCTCAGACCCACAGCATCTGCTCAAGCCTGCTATGAAAACCAATAGAACTTCCTGTCGTAGAGCTGTGTTTCTAAGTACAAATGTTTGGGATTATTTGGTTATGATTATGTAAATACACACGTCTCCTGCAGTGAGGGTGGTTGAGCAGTTGCTAAGCCCTGACAAGGAGTGGTTGTTTATCTAAGTTGCAACTCGAACAGCTTGCAGGGCCTCAGCCAGAAAACTGGAAGAGGTTCCATCTGTGACATTTCTCTGACATGCCCCGCTTTCACTGCTGTGACAAAAGAACAGTGATGCAGACAGTAAAGTTTTAATTGAGTAAAAGAAAATGTTGCTCTCATTGTCATAAAGTTCTACAGTTAGTTCCCCAGCAAATCACTTTTTTGTGCTTTTTTCTTGTGTGTTTATTTTTAAGACACAAAAATCCACTCCAAAACAAAACAGCTATAAAACCCCCTCCCGACATTTTCTGTTGGAATACAATACATGCAGATTCCTGAAATTATAACAGTGGATCCACTGTCTCATACTAAAGCTGTTCACAGAGTGAGTCATTAACCTTTAATGAATATTCACTATACTGCACAGTGAACCTCTGCCACATCTTTTCTTTGGATCCCTGAAAGATGGCCCCCCAGTTCAAAGATCCGCAGGTGATAAAAAGACAACAGGTGTTGCAACTATGGCAAAGACAGCAAGCTAAAAGCATCTATTGGGATGGTAAAAGAAAATCATCGTGACATTGGTTGTATTACGAAACTAGTGGACTTAGATTTATGAATATCTGTAATCTTGTTTTATAAACCCTTGCATGCTTTGTTATGGGCATAATTGTGAAGTTTGCCAACCATTCCTCCGAAAAAAAAAACTCTTATGCAGCACGCACAATTGATAGCTACTTAGCCACCACAGTTCACCATTTCGGTGCCCCGGCCTTTAATTTTTATCACTGTACCTGTCAGATTCCACATCAAAAACCACCTTATTGATGATATCCTCAGGGCACAGCAGGCGCTGGATATCTTCAAACACTTTCTTTCTGGAAAACCCAAACAGAGGAGACCGAACTTGTTAGTTTCAATGAAGCTCTTTTTCTTATTCTTCCTTTGTACAGCAGGTAGTTTATGAGAGCCCTGAGATCTTGTTTTCTCTCTCTGTCCTCTGAAGTCTCTTTAGTAATTAGCCTAGATGTGTGATACATCACCTCTATTAAGTTCTGTACAGAAGTTCTCCCATCTCCCCTCTCTTGATGTTAAAAGATCAAGCAGCAGACACAGACATTTTCCTAACCTTTTCAAGGCCTCTTCCACATCACTGCATCTATTTCATCAAGCCTGCAAATTATTCCAGATCCATCATAGATAGAATAAAGCTACTTCTTAAACCCTGCTTTACAGATTAATGCCGCTGACATCATATACTTATATTTTTACCATCCATGAATACGCAAAGATGTGATCCATGAATTCAAACAACAAGAATATACTGTATGTAGCATACAACAACAGGTGGAGCACTACGATACAGACTGATACTTAATTCCCTTTAGGGTTTCTCTCATATTAGAACTTAGATTAAAATTGGCTTAAACTCCTCAGAAGGAAATCATAACCCTATAAGATTGTGATTTCCCATCCTTGATAGGCCTTAGTGTGTCCCTAAGGGATTCTGTATTTTTTTCTTTATGTACAGTACACTACTTTGTAATTGTCATTTTTTTAGTAATTTCAGCTTAGCACTACAGCCACCATGGGAGACATGAAGACAAGATAATGAACTCAGATTTCTTTTCAGACTGGGGGCCCATAACACAAACAGAGGAGGGAAGCAATTATCACTGATAATGCTGAAGCCCAGCCAGCAGCATGCTCTGGAGTTGCACAGCAAGGTAAAGACACCTGGCTGGTTTCAAAGCTACCCATTGCTAGCAGCACATTATGCAAAGCCCCACGAGACGTCTGAGCAGAGTCAGCCCAGATTTCCATCAACAATCTTTGATCTACCAGGGCCGAACCTGCACTCCCATCAGAGGCCTTTCCTAATAAAGTGTTTTGGTTTCCTAGTTTTTCCCAAGCTCCTTGTTATTGGAGCCTTCTGTCTTTTTGGGATTTAAGCAGGAAGTGTCAGAAAGGATACCATGGGAATATCCACTTGCTGTCTGTTCTCACTATCACTGTGCAACAGAATTTACTATTCAAGGATGGTTCACCCACTAATAGAGAAGTGAGGTGGGTTGAGACTGTCAGAGATGAGCTGGTTTTATTCTACTGGTGATGTGTTGTTACAATAATAATTCAAATAGATCTGACAGCATGAGGATCTGCAACAGTCTAAAGGTATCATCAGAAGAAACTGTAGAACAATGTTATTTCTTACTGTCAATATGCATAGATTTTTTTAACTCCGTGGACAAATTTATAATGAAAATTGAAAACTTTTCTTTCACCCACTCTCCCAGGATGTCTTGAAATACGCTAGCCTACAGTACATTTCTTGAAGTGCTTTCCAGTTCAACCTACAGTAGGTTACACTAGTCCACTAGGTCCCAAGGAAAGCTAAAAGAAAAAAAGTACAAGAGTGATTCATATGCAGAACAAAGGAAATGTTGAATAAGAGAACTAAATCCATGGAGCCTCCTCTGTGGATGACAAATGCCTATTTTGTGTGCAATGTCTTTCTCGACTTGACTAAGAGCTGAAGCTGACGTTTCGCTGCAGCCCCATGGCCACCAAACTCTTTCTCTCTCTTCCTCCAGGTCCCAACATCTCCAGATCAGGGGCAGGAGCAGAGAGCACTGCACCCAGTGAAGCAATCAGCTAGCTCACCTTTTTTGCCTTTCTTTTTTTATTGGGATAGAACTTAAGAAAGTTCACAAATGAAAGGAGACCACTTTGCCCACCTTTTGTCTTTGTTTAGCAGTTGCATAATCTCATCCACCTGCAGCTTGTGCTTGAACCACATCGCTGGGTAGACTGGCTGACACCCACAAGTTACCTCAAGAGCATCTGAACTAATTCAGCCAGCACTGTTCTGCCTCTTGACTGCTTTATCACACTCTTCTCTGAGAATTGCAGCGTTGAAGCCCTGATCATATCGACTAAATGTGTCGTGATAAGGGGCTGGTAAAGAACACAACAGCCACCAAGGGCTGTGGCTGAATTTGCTCTGGATGAAACCACTATCCCCAGAATGAAACCATGTAACCAACACTCTGAGGACTGACAGATTAATTAGCAAACCCAGGAACACTGCAAGCACTGCTACCAAAAATGTGAGAATACAAACCACCTACTTTGTCTTTTAACACAGAACTCTTTCTATAAACATTTGCTCCAAAAACATGATAGTGGAGAAGTTAAACTGATGATTCTCCCATAGTAGAGCTATTGTGAAACCTTTAACCTTCACAACAAGAAACTCCCAGTACCTACTTTTATTTCTAAAACATATACAGTATGCTTAGTGTATCCAACAAGTGGAATTAGAAGTCTCTCTAGGATGTTCCACTATACAATAGGCCTACAGACTGATGGGCTTTTCTCAGCTGGGGGTGTCAATAATGAGTCAGCTGACATCAATGGAAAGTGGTTCTTCACAATCTCTTGCTATTCACCATGAAATGTTCTATTTTAAGTGTTCTCCTGGCAGAAATTTTCTAGAACTGCTAAAGTCGCCATCTAAGAGAAAAACAAAGTTACACCAGGGAGGTCCATTCTGACACAGCCCTGGCACCAGAATGCATTTAGCTGCAGAAATTACAAACAGAATGAAAGAGTCCTCAAGGGGCAACAAAGATCATTCACACTGAAAAAGTAAATGCCCTGTCAGTGCTAATGTAGAAGAGATGGGTCCTCTTCTATTAAAAGTTCACACTTTACAAAAGCAAAAAAAAAACTAATTTAAGATGGCATTTTTGGTAGCAGCACTACGGAAAACTGGATGCAGCTACAGACAGAAACCATAGTGGCAGATCAACTACATGTGTTGTAACGCGGTTGCACGGGCAGACAGCTGCGTCTGAAAACAGGGGGCAATCCCACTGTAGATGCTCGGCGATTTCCGGAAACTGTTGAAAGTGAAAAGAAAGAAAGAAAAGAGGTGGAGAGGAAGTTCTGAATAAGTAGGCAGACAGAGCTGGATCCAGGCAGGAAAACGAGCCATGGGGAAGCTTCAGGCAGAACAGGGTCAGGGCGAATTCAGGAGTCAGGCGTTTGGGTTTAGAAGTCAGGAAGAGCGGTTTATTTTTCTAAAGTTCGTTCGCAAGAACAGACTATCATACCCTCTGACAGCTCAAATGACCGAGCGTGTTCCCCATGGCAGCTCAGATCTTTTATAGGCTGTCGGTTGATTAGAGAAGGGGGCGGCTTGATAGAAGGAGGGGCGAATCAGTAAACGACTCGAGTGTATAATAATTGGAGCCCGTGAGGAATGCGTTCGTTCGGGGAAGAGCTACATGTCCCCGTGGCTACTGTGGAATGACACAAACGCAGTAAAAAAGGTGAGATACAGAATGTATAACATTTCTTACTGTATATAATGTTATCATTTTAATAATAATTTTAATTAAAAAATTCAAGAATACATTCTGATGCCATTTAAAAAACATCTTAAAATGGTTTACAAAATTTAAGATGTGCCTGTCGTACTAATGATGCATGCCAACCTATCAGACCCATAACCATCTCCAATGCTTTTTATAAGCCTTAGACCATTTTGCGAGCTTCAGCCTGTATTTCATACAAACATCAAGGCACACACAAAAATAAGCCTTTAGGATGTAAGTCCAAAGACGTAAACCTGTCTGCACCATCATTTCATGACAAGAAAAGGCGTCCCCAAGGTTACACTTCCATATACTGAACCATCGCGCAAATGGGCTCACTGTAAAGCACACGAATGTCACTCCAATGGTTCTTTACATTCAGTAATAATATATTTGCAGCTTTTAAAAATGTGCCTTTTTCAAAATGCTCATTGTCAATGAGTCAGAGGTGATCTGAGCCCTGACAGGTGGTGTCAGTGTGCTGTATATGTGTATCAGTCCCTACACTTAAAAAAGGAGTCACTGCTGGTGTCAAAATTCAGACATTAGTTCAGTCAATTGTCCCAAGGCTGTGCCAGACTCAGATCAATGCTGTGTAATGACATGATGAATGCCTCTGCACAGTGGGTTTTGGAAGCAGCAGAGTTGTTCAAGCCAAAAAGAGAAAAAAAAAAAAACAAGAAAAGCAGAAGATTTGATTTTTTTAACCCCTGATCATCTACAGAAGCTCTGCCTCAGATGAGAATTTTTTTGGTAGATGGCCAGACTGAGTCAGTTCTTGGTATATAGCTCCCCTGAGATCTGCTTCACAGCAGTCAAAGGGAAACACTACAGGGCTGCAATCCCATTGATCTTCTCAGCTCTCCCAAAAAGACAGCACTGAAACCAATCTCAGAGTAACTCTCACTGTGGGGCACAGTGAAAACTCCTTCCGCACACATTATTCTCTTTGAGGATCGCTTCCCTTGGGTCTCACTGCTTATACCTCTCATTCTCACAGTTTTAATTAAGAATGTCTTTTTGGTCTTGACCATAAATTCGAATTTCATCATTTTGGCTCAACTTCTGTCGTTGCACAAAAAAAACGTTGCCCCTTTGTGGGTTGATTCATCAAGTTTTATTTGATCAATCCAAGTCAGAAGCAACCAGCCTTCATCCTTGAAGGATGCGGGCTATTAAGTTTTGCCTCCCGAATGATTTCTGAATCAAAGGATTAAATAAGTCAGCATGTTAATTTTATTCTTTTTCACATGTTAAGAAATGGATGGTTCAAGGTGGACTATGAAACCTGCTAGTCTGAATTTCACCAGGACCACCATCCCTGTTTATCCCTACAATAGGACCTCCTACTCCTAAATATCATAATATTTTCAGCAGGTAACAATGACTTAGTAGTTAACCAGAGAAATGTTAACGTTACCATACAAAATGCATCGCGTATATTACAAATGTTTTTCAACTCCGACATTCTTTCACAGCTCTTTTACGACCTACATATTTCTCTCCGTTTAAGAGGAGTAGTGCGTGTGAAGGAAACGAATACCTCTGAACTCCTTCCTTCCGTTCCGCACATGGCTGCCTGTAGGGTGGTGGCAGGTGGCCCCAGAAGTCTGGGAAGGCCAGAACGGAGTATCTGGCGATGGACTTGGTGTTGACAGCAGTGGTGGCATAGAGCCGAGGATCGTGGTGGAAAATGGTGGCTCCATGCCTCTCCAGGAGTGTGTCGACCAGGCTGCGGCCCTCCTGCCTGTCTGCTCCATTGCTGAGGTACTGCCTGTGGACGTCCAGGGCGTTCAGCTGGGCCACTCCTTTTCCACTGCCTCCCTCTGGGCTGGAGGCTTTATTTTGTTCTTGGAGATCTCCTTGTTTTCTGGGGGTATCATAGGCGCCTTCAGGTGTCCTCAGAGCCTCACTGCATCTCAGCCTCCTTTCTGCTAATCTGTCGCCAGTGCAGTCTTGGTGACGAGGGTCAAATTCCATATCGAGTAAACCATCCTCATCCGAACTGTCCTCAGCCTCTGAGTCTGAGTCGAGATCCTGTAGTTTAAAAACAGTGTCTCTTTAGTGAAATACTGAATTAAGGCCACACAGGGCATTAATGCAATTATTCTGAAATACACTGAAGCATGTCTAATATGTAATTGTGTATTGCACTATAACCCTCTAAATAACATCTGTATTCCTTATTTTTTTTTTCTTTATCCACTTAAATTGTTTAGCTAAACATATGAAATAGAAAATGCAATGCACTTGCTCTCTTTTAGGTACACATTCAGTTAATGACGGTCGTTATAAACAGTACGAGACCTGAGTACAAGCTCCACCCGTGTTCAGTTCCACCAGAGCTCCAATCCATTCTAATTGGGATCTAGAGATTGTCCTGTCCAGGGAAGGTGATGGACACCTGTCATGTGCTCCTGATTAATGGGAATTTAATCATCTAATTCATAGGACTGGGAATTCCTCATATTTTGACCAGCGCTGGGAAGTTTCTTGTATATACTTTCAAGCCATTCTGTCATTTGACATACTCCAAGCCCACAGAGCATCAGAGCGTTACCACTGACTGAAGAAATGTTGAGTGTCCTACCACATCTGTTACTGGCTAACATCATTGTAAATTACAGAGAAAATCCTACAGCTCACTGCTCACATGACACAACATTCACTGGCCAACACAAGGTTTCCCACCCAAGTCAGTACAAGTGGCAGGGCAAGCCAGCTGGAATTCCTGGCGCATTCAGCTATCGACTAGGGTCCAGCTGAGATCTGAGGTAAACATGGACTCCAGACGAAAGTCCTTAATGGTTTAACGACTCAAAAGAATGCAAATACTCTTTAAATATGTTGCACCATTGTTATATATAAATGAGATTAAAGTGCTCAGTCAATTAAAGTAGTTCATAAGAGCTTGATATAATTACACAAGCACCAGCAATTTAACAGAAATTCATAGACTAAGTGCTTTTACTGCTATTTCCCTGATAGAGACCAGCAGGAGCAGTGATCACAAATGGAGCTAAACTCCCAGCAGTTTCAGTAGACACTTAATCAAATTCATCTAGTCCTTTGGATGAAACACATTCACACAACAAAGACCTAAAGAAAAAATCAACCAAACTCATTCCACTTTTTTCTAATTTGAGAAACAATATAGAGCTTTTAAAACAATTTTGTAAACCATTTGCCTTCCTCCAATAAAAGACAATAATAAATGATAATGAAACTAGCACTGCTTTTGAGGAACCATTCACCTAGTGTGTCTGGTAATGTCTCTGACATAATAATATGACACAATAAAGTACACATTCAACAACATGCAACATGCAACAACTACTTTGATCTTGAGAACTGATTAGGCTCCTCAATTATAGCATCCGATAGACAGAACATTCAGAATATCTTAAGCATTAAGGATTCCCAGCAGGTAAGTGGAACTGAAATATTCATTTAGCTGCCTTGCATAATTGGTATAACATTCCCCCAAATCAGAAGAAGAGGTCAAGGGTGTCACCTTCTAGAACCGAAATAGCAACTCACCCTCTCAAAACTCAAGCTGGCAGACGTCAAGACTGTGCACTCATAGCTGTCGGTTCTTGGCTTGGCCAAATGAGGAAGTTCATTACAACAAGTGGTCACCTTACAAATATTCCCATATCCTTGTACTTAATTACAGTACATACTTTAACATTCTTCTTTTAAAAGCCAAGAGCTTTATGATGTTGCATTAGGTGGCTTATGTAGGGAATCTTCTTTAGGCTCAAATATTCCTGTATCCTTTAACTACCACTACAACATCAGCCAAGCCACTTCAACTACAGTATGTGGTAAAAAGAGATCATGTATTTTTAGTCTATTTTTATGAGTGTTACCTTTTTAAAATAAACACTGTTCTATCATGGAGAAGTATCCGATTTTACCATCGTAAAGAACATTTCACAGTTTATCATTGCCTTCAGCTTATGTAATGCTTTGGCATACCTACAGTATATATGCTTGCCATATCTGATTTTATCATGATTGTACCATGATTTTACTGTGATTTATTGTATTGTCATTATGATATTCTATTGTCACTGTTAAGTCTGCTACTGTAGTGGACAGGAGAGGCTGACCTTTGTCAGGGGAGGAGTCCAAGCGAGAGGCAAACATCAGAGTAGGTGGAGAATTCAGGCAAACCACAGCTTAATAGGGAGAGCAAGCCAGGGCCTGAGCACTATAAGTACAATACTATAAGTATTGTAAGCCAAGGAGGAGCTCCAATAGTAAGGTCAGGACAAGCCAGGTCAAGAATCCAAAACAAGCACTAGTGAGTGTACACATGGATAAAGACAGCAACTCAGCAACCAGGGAACGAGTAACACAGGAACAGAGTAACAAATTCTTCCATTCTTCCTTATTGGGAAGAACCATAAAATTAGGTGTAAGAAGGGCCAAATGTAAACAGACAGAAAGATTGATGTGTGTTTTATCAAATAGGTGCTTGTTTTTCATTCAATAGTGACCATATGTCACCAGGTGAACCATGAAGAGAAATAATACAAACATAGCATTGACACAGTAGCCAGTTACATCACTGTCCAACCTGTCTCACGGCACCAGTTGTAGCAGAAACCAATTTACAGGAGACTTGGATCACCTGGAGACGATTTACAACCATGCCTGCTCCAGGTGACTCAGAAGATAGAGACTTGGATCTGATAGGGCTCGGGGCTCTGTCACAGGGTTTTGTTTCTGAGCCCCTTGAGTCTCTAGCTAGTTCAATAGCTGTGCTTTGTTTTGTATCCTGACCCCTGCTTGCATTCTGTACCTTGTTCCTGGACCATCCTTGGTTTTTACTTCCCTGCTCACTTGGCCTGTATCCTGTTTGTTTCTCCAGGATTCTGACCAGGAATTTCCCCCTGTGTGTTTCTCTACTGTGTCTTCCTAGTTCTGACCCTTGCTTTGCTGGACCTTGTGATCCCCTTGTGATTTATTGCACTTCCTTGGACCTGACCCCAACTTTGCTCTGACCACGCTTCCTGGACCACGCTTTGACCTCCGCCTGCTCTACCAGACCTCGAACTGTGCGAGTCCCACCTCAGCAGCAGATTATTGCAAATCAGGGTTTTATTTATAACTAAAATATCATCCAGGCATGAGTTTGCATGAAGGCTTTGTCTTCATGCAAACTCAGATTTCAGATAGCTAACACCTGTGCTGTTTAGTGAGGTGTTTCAGGTTTAATTCTAGTTTCTTGGATTCAAAACAGCAGTTTTCTAGGGCTATTTTTCTCTCTCTTCCATTTGCCACCTATTCTTATAACAGATATCTGTCTAAATCAGGAGATCTATGGTCTGCTCAGCTGGTTTCCCAACTCAGGACATTAGCTTTCCAATTTTTATTCCAGTGTACTTTTGTTGCAATGAATGGAGCAAGTCAATGGCCCAAATGAAGTTTCCATTCCACACAAAATGATTGAGGGGACACTTCAGTGCTCAATCAACACAAGCGCTGCAAAAGATGTCTGCATTCACACATGTTCAGAAGTCTCCAGGGCTCTTCATGCAATATACAAAATACGCAAGGAAATTGAGAGAGGATGGCTAACATCTATCCCACATAGATCAAAAGTTACAGTGGGCTCTCATGTTAAAATACTGTTATATTTTTTGTGGGGGTTTAAGTTTAAATCATTTACCAAAGTTAAATACATATTGACATTTAGTATTACAAGTAAAACTGGGATCAACTTAAGCAGAATCTTCTTGTCTTTCTTTAAAATATAAACTATATATAGAACTGACACATATTTCCTGAGTTGTGCTGCAGGTGCAACAGTGCCATTTCCAAGTGAAGAAATTCTATACAAACCCCACCCTTGCCCCTTGCTAAGCCATATTACAACAGCTTCTAAATATGACAATAGGGCTTTAGGGGGTGGCATGATAGTGCTGCTGGCACACAGCTCTGGGTCCCGGGTTTGAAATCTGACTGTGAATCTGTCTATATGCAATTTGCATGTTTCTTCTTTGCCTACTGTACATGTATTCTGCCAAGTGCTTCAGTTTTCTTCCACTGGGCAGAAAGGCTCAGTTAATCAGTGTCTGTAAATTGTCCCTGTACAGTATGTGCTTGCCCTACTATGGACTGACATCCCATCTAGAATGTAGTCCTACCTTGAATGATTGTGCCCTTGAGCATGAGATCCAGTTTATAACTTAGGAAAAGGTTCTGCAGTATCCTTATTCTGCTTCAGAGAAACAATGTACTAATAGTTAAAAATCACTAAAAACATGGACACCCACTGAATATTCTCAGAGCTTTTTGATATCCTGCTAACACCCTAGATACAAACGAGGTCTAGTCAACATATCAAAATTGAAGAATCTAAACAAAACCAATTACATCTTTTACTTGTTCACACCATTTTCTGTTTTGCAGATAAAACTGTGAAAGATTGGATACACATTAAGTGAAAGGCTTGTAAGCACTAAAGTAATCCCAGTTCGTCTATCAGATGCATTAGAATGTCCCAGACACTGCAGGCGTATGCATAATTACAGTTATAAATCTCAGCAGTGAACATACATTAGTTTCGTATAAACTGTTACAGATTTTTTTCTTTCATAGTCATTAATACATAATACATCATAAAATTATCTGATGCTTAAAACTTTACCTCATGTTACAAGGTGATGATCTTTAACTTTCCCCACATTACTTTCCAACTTTCTTTAAAACTCTTTCTCATGCCTTATACCTTTCCTCCTGATCCCAACCCCAATTCACGCAATGATTGCATCAGCAGATATTTAGGAATAAATGAATGTTCACCTTTTTATGTAAAGTCCATCTCTATTCTACAATGCTTAGGTCCAGAATCATTTCATTTGCATGCTGTCTCACGCCAACTTGAATTATTGCATTGGGGAAGACAGCCATAAATTAATTGGAAAGGCAAAATTTTTCAATGCCAGCCGTTAATCTCATAAGTGATATTATTTAAATTAAAACAGTGGCACCAGGCTCGCTGAGATGCAGCTAAGGAAGATTAACTCAGAGCGCGCTGACATTTCTATTCATTTATACTCATCGCGAGACGAAGGAGTATCGCTGTGGGTTTAACTCAAGCAGTTTCGATGGAGAGGGTGCTATTTCACAAAGGCTCACATTTGGTCTCTAAGTAAAACATATTAACAGTGTTAGGGAAACACAGTCAATCTCATTATGAAGAAAAATTATGTGGGTTTAAAACTTGCTGAAATAAGCTTGAAGACCCATTAGGCAACTTTTGAGTTACTCTCACACACATATCACTAAATCAAGAACTCCAAACCGGAACTATAGAACTATAGTCCTTTGTCTTTCTTATTAAAAAGAAAAAAAAAAGCTGAATAATATTGTTACGAAGTGTCTTTCATGACCCTATGCAGAGGACACAATCCGGAAGGGAGTGAACACACACAGGGGGGAGACGAGGAACCGGGGGGGGCGTGACGAAAGCGCTCTGGGGGGCGTGGTTCAGGTGAACAGTCCAAAAGGAAGTCCAGTGCAGGCGAAGGTCCAGACGAATCCAAGACGAACAAAACAAAGTTAAAAACCAGAGCAGGATCCGGTGAGGGGTCTGGGGGGAAAGGGGGAATGGAACCAGACGCTCTAGGTCCCAGGCGCAGCTGGTTCAGAAAGCAATGCAGAGCCCGGAACAGAGTGAGCATCTGGCTCTTATAGGGAGGCAGGGTTAACAAGCCGGAGCACCCTTAAGGGGGAGGGACTACAATCGTGACAAATATCTTTGTTACCCCTTTTTATACGGTGCAATATGACAGCATATAACAAATACAACCTGTAAATCAGGTGTATTTGTCCCGAAAACACAATATGTGTGGCAAGACTGGAAGTGATCTTAGTGACAAGTACCTGAGATAAAAAATCATGATTATCACTTCCTGAAAATAGATTATTCCAGCACATTAAAAATACTGTCCATCGTAACATCTCAGTGTGACCATTGTCCCAGTCTCTGAAAGCAAAGTCTAACCCATCCCTGCATTTCTCCTTGATCTTACTGTGGCTGATGCTTTCTGCTGGACCAAAATGTATTATACTCCCACAGCAGTTTATACTTTCTATTCAAGTTTTCCATTTGATTGTTCTGTATTACTACTATTTTGTAGACAGATGTTAGTATACAGACAAAATAATAACTGCCACACCTCCCACTCAAAGAAGAGAAGAAATGTATTGTACTTTGGTGTAGAAATGTATTAGAACACCCAAGATGTATTATCTGTTGAGTTTTACAAATAAAAAAGAATATGCACATTTAATGTAGAGATTAGTTTGAAAATCTGAGTTTTGTAGTCAGTAACCTATGAAACTAAAATGCTAGCCATGCTCTTTTCTAACATTGTGGACTTGTAGCTTATGTTTTTTCTCTCTTTTTCTTATGAATGAGATGACCATGTGTCAGAGACATCTACATAACATGACTGTTGATCCGCTCCCGCTGTTATCCAGTTTTGTCTGTAACAATAACACATAAAAATCACAGAAGCACTGGGTGTTCTAGGAAATGTTTCCCAATCTTATAGTTGTTGCTTCACAGTTAAAAATCCTTGATACCAATATCTCAAGTCAGGGCCAGATTCATTACAAATTCTATCAGAGTCAACAGGGTTTGCTATACCAGCAAAGCAATATACTACTAAAACCTCATTTAGAGTTCTGTTTTCCACTTAGGTCACCATGTTACAGAAAGGATATTGTTCCCTTTAATAAGGTTCAAAATGAATGAACAAAATAATTGCTGGCCTGAAAGGCATGTCATAAACAAACAGAGTAAAGGAATTCAATCTCGTTAGTCTTCATCAACACAGATTGCAAGAGAATGTGAATTCCGTATTCCTATTCCTCAAGGGTATCAGCAAAATCAACCCAAGTGATTTCTCCAAACTTAAAAATGAAACAGGAATCCTTGTTCAACTGGAAAACAGGAGGCTCCTTTTTCCCCAGAGAGTCCTAAGTGTCTGGAATGATTTAATCTGCTGTTTCTGTGACTATGTGGAATTTTAGGACAATAACAATAGCTAGCAGCCAACTGAGCAAGAGGGGCTCTCAATTGTATTAGTTCTCAAAACCTTATAACAACAACGGAGCCCACGACAAGACCACGAAGAACTCCTTTTTTCTGAGGCTGTAATGAAACAGAGATTTGTTTTGAGAGAGGTTTACCTTGAAGTCATGGTGCAGCTCTGGACACAGTCTGACATACTGTCCCAGCTGTTCCAGGGTGCGATCTGGCTCCGGCTTCATGCGCAACAGCGTCAAATCTGTCTCCAAGTCGTCATCCTGCCCAAGCCAAAGGAAACAATGACATTTGTTGACAGTTCACTGCTTCCCAACACCTCCAGTCTTTAAAAACTAAAACTGACATTTTTAATAGACCTTAGCTCTTATTAACTTATAATACAGATATAGATATAGAACAATCTTGAATATTTTGTAATCATACAGCTCTCTTTAAAGAAAAACCATCTTGTCTTCAGAAAATTGAGTTAGGTAAAAAAACAGTTTACCTGATCTTGCTTATTTTGAACAGAACCTACAATAGTACTGTACTGTATGTGGGCACATACTGTACAGTAGGCAGATTCTTCTGAAACAACACTTTCATTAAGAGAAATCTTAATCCAGACTAAAATCTGCATTTAAACTATTTTATTTTACTGAAGATGGTTCTCTCAAGCTCCATTTAGGGGCTGCAAACATTTTTACTCCAGAAAGAAACAAGCAATTTGAACCTAGGATCCTGGAGCTGTGAGGTACTAGCAGCACAACACCATGCTGCTCTAAAAGATACCACCACAACATTGGGGCTTAAAAAAGAAAATAAAATGTTACATATTAATGGGGATTAAGATAAGGGAAAAGAGCCATTAATGTCAATATAATTACAGATAGGTTACAGCAGGATTTACTGTTGAACGGAGGCTGAATGCGTGTGCAGTGAGCATGCATTCAAGACACCTTCTTCCCTGCCATTTCCAATATCGATCGCAACACAATCACAAACAACCACTTACTGTAAAGCTGGCAGCCCACTGCCCCCTCCCACCACCTGTTCTGTAATACTAGCCTTCAGCTCTGGGAAGAGCGCAGGCACAGACTCAGCAGGGACTGCTTCCAGAAGCCACGCAGTCAGAGGTAAGCTGGGGCACAGCTATGGATAACTGACTGCTTGACAAAACACCGCAGACTGTCTGTCTGCCACCTCCGTCGGAAGAAGCCAATGCTAAGCAGCATGCTACCCCAGGAGAACCTCGTGGAGCAGAACGCCCTGCTGGTTTCCCTCGAAGAAAACAACTCATGATGAATGGGCCTCCTTGTCTGTGACAGCCTCGCCCTCTTCCCTCTTATCTCTATCAGTACGCAGTCGCGAAAGCATGCAGAAATGTCCGTATTCGAACATAGCTGTGCATAGCCCATGGCAAAATCAGACAGCAGGCAAATAAGTGTAAAAAATATGATGGGAGAAGCAACAAGTGGAATAGACTGGCTCCCCCGTCTGTGACTTTCAGGGGAGGGCCGCAGTGGCATTGATTAATGTGGCATCGAGCAACTGTTATTAAATAAATGTGAGCTGGGTCTGCAGAGGGCTCATGTGAGTATCCATGTGAATATTCATTTCTGAAAAGAACAGATTAGTCATTTAATTATTTTACTGGAATTACTGTGAATACGGCTTTCGTAACAGTGTCAGCACTCTCGGCTACGTCAAGGGAATCTGTGTTTCCGCAAACACATCAGATTTCAACATCTCAGATTTTTCTGTATATACATTGACAGGAGCCTGCTGCACGGAAACGACAAAATAATTCATTTTCCATCCTCTGATACAGTATCTTCCTTAAATCACTTGGATTTAAGTTATTCTTGATGTCCACTGTCCAGAAGGTCTTTTCCCTCTAAATATTGACAGGCAGCTTCACGTACACGATACAGTTGCTTCCCAGTTGCCACATCAGGAAGTCATGAAACATTCTTGAATAACTAAATTTGAAATATATTGCATGTAATTGAAAGTACATTTTTCAAAGGTTGGTGTAACCTGGTAAAATTTAGCTGTATTGTTTTACCAGTTTGTCCAAAGTACTGTAATGTACTATTTGGGAAAATTGTTTTTTGTTTATTCCAGCTCTGAAGGCAAAGTTCTGAGTTCAGTCTCAGTCTTGGTGGGAAACCAAACATAATACAGTTTTTCAGGGCCTGCAAATGAGATACCAGGACAGCAGTAATTCTTCTGAATCATCCCTACTAATCAAAACCCTTAATATGCAAGCATTAGAGGACGCTGCTTTTTCCCATAACTGTCATCGTATAAAACACAATAGGAATTTACTAGCAGTAATAATAAAGGACATCACGTGCCATTTATTCAAGGAAGAGGTGTAAATATGTGAAACTGTGTGCATGGCATGCTCTCTTATACATTAAGTGTGATTTATAGTAAGCTAGTGCACACAGCAGCTGCACACTGCTGTGCTCAACAGCACATTTTCACAGACTGATCTGCACTCTCTACAGCAATTTGACCTTTCCAATGCAAAAAATTGCATCCACTGGAACTATATGTTGAGTTCACACATAATGCATGGTGAATGAGGCAAACTAGTACATTTTTCTCATATACCACTAGTGAAAAAAGAAGTATTTCCATATTAAATGAATTTGCTTGAATGTTTGTTTTTAGAAAGACAAAATGCAAATGTTTGAGAATAACAGTAATGAAATATAATGCACATCCCAGGGAATAGCAGTAATAAATCATACGAATGCACGGCTTTTCCATTTTCGCCATTGAAATTAGGGGAATGAGCCAGGGAGCAGCTCTGACGGTGATGATGGGGAAGAATGGTGATGTCTGCAAAACTCTGAATAAAGGGTAAGGGGTGTTTTATATCGAAAAGCCAAGCAAAGGAGTTTCCTTCTGAACCTTCCTTTGCAGAATCCTGTTGATGCAGGCCTTTTTTGGAATGGTAGATGACTTTGAAGGAAAACGGTGAAAAGTAAGACTTCTACAAAGATGTTGTGTTTGCCTTTTGTGCGAGACAAGTTTGGGAATCCAATCCTATACCTAAATCACTTACTTCTTCCTTACTCTCCAGTTCATCATTTTTCTCTTCATCACTTTCCTCTTCCACGTCACCATCTTAGAAAGAAAAGAAGGGAAATATATAAATGTGAAGGTCCCAGACCATTTTAAATAACTTAACACTACTCCAAAACACAACCTCTTTCTGGTACTTACTTGCTTGCTGCTAAGCATGACCAATTGTAATGCTAAAGCAATGCTCAGTGCAGCTGTAAGCTACTAATAGCAGTTAAATTAAATATTAGTAAGGCACTGCTGAAACAGAGATCAGAAAACACCACAAGTATGAAAACTTGATTAGGACTGCCGTGCAAAGTAATAAAAGACAGTTTAGCGGAATAATTTCTCTTACGCCCTAGCCACAATTCAGGAAGGGATCACTGCAGTTTACCAGATTACCTTTTTTTTAACTTTGAGTTATCTAGATGCAACTAAATAGTGCACATCATCTGCAATCATTTTGATGTACAGTACATTAGGGGTCAACTGATAAATCAATTATTACGTGAAAGTAGAGAGAAATCAAGCCTTGAGAACTCAGCTCTGCATCAATGGGCACTTACTGTGCTAGTAAGTCTTCTGAGCTTTCTGCAGGTCCATTTCCTTCCCTGTTTCCAGGGCTCGAGCATTAGCATGCACTGTTCTGCCAGACGGATAATTTTTCGAGAAATCTTGCTTGTAACGTTATGGCCTGATTCAGCATGTTGTCTGCCAAAACATGCTGGCTCAATGTGCTGGCCTGGGAAACCCACTGGGGAGGCAGAGGGCAAAGCGAAGGTTACATCAAAAAGTTAAAAAAAAATAAATCACAGAAGAAATGCAAATCTTCCTCAGCAAGTCAGAATGATCCATGACAAGCCACACTTCAATCTGCCTCCTGGCGCCAAGGATACGGGGAGAGATTTCAATTTGAAGGGTCATTATTGCACAAGCCCTGCAATCGGTGGAATGTTAGCAGCAGGGATGTTAAAAAGCCCATTGTCCTATAACAGGTGACAGAACTACTGTACATGGAAGCTGTACAAACTCTTGTTGCTGTCAGTTTGCAGCCCTTAAACACAGAGCTCTCTAGTCTGTCAAGAAACCTCCAGATTCAGGCATAGCTACTGTAGCATTTCACAGCTAATTGCACAGGCAAGAAAACTCAGGAAATAACCTAAAGGAACTTTTTGTACTCAGATGGTTCACAGACACATATAATTTATGCAGCAGAAATATATAAATCAATTCTGGCATAAAGATTATGACATTGATTGTGTCGTTACGCCACACAAAAGAATGTAAACTTTAATACTAGATTAGCGCCATTAATTAATTATTGTACTTTGCTTTTGTTTTCATTATACAAAGCACTTTCAGTTTTTAGTTTCAGTATTAACTGTGTATGATGTGCCTCAGATACCAAAAATAGCTTTGCAGGAGTAACATTTCTGTTTGAAGTATGGCCCTGTGCTTTTTACTGTATCCAGGGACCAATAAGGGTATCTTTTTACTCAGCTGATCTAAGACACAGAGAAAAAGGCATCTAGTGCAGATTGCCCAGCAACACTCTTGAAGCTGATGATCATTTTGTAATCTATCAGCTGCTGGCAACTCACAAAAAAAATGGGTCAAAAAGTCTCCTCTCTTGTATAGTCTACAATGAAGGGGGGATTTTCCTTCTGTTTAAATCAATTGATTACTTGTAACAAATTGACCCCAAAAATATACTTTATGGAGGTCCACAGAGCTTCAGTAATTTGCAATGAAACAGCTGAGTAATTAGTTTCTGACTCCAAAAACTATTTTAGGAAATAAGCACATTCTGTTTTCAGTTCTAAAACATATCACCTCCTAATTTCTTGTGACTCTCTGACCTGGTTTCATGGTTGAGCTGATGGTAGCCCTTTGGGTTGACTTTATGATTGCATGCAGGGTTAGAATGCATAAAGTAAATCCTTAAGGGTGCTCCTTTTGTTCAGCACTAAAGATATTACAGTATGTTCCTTTAAAGTATCTGTGTATATTCAGGGTTTATAGTCTCATGAAATCAGCACTAAATAGGTTTATTTTTATTATTTATATATTTAGGGTATTACCTACTTTTATAGAGAAATATTTTATTTTTGGTTGGAGGGGATAGAAGCGAAACAGTGTTGTTGTTCACTATGATAAAGCACAAGGGACATTCTGCATGCTTGGTTTGTAATACTCAAATATGAGAAGGGAATATGCACAATATATCAACAGTCAACAAGGAAATTACATCGGTACTAGTTTTCTGAGCTCCAGAGAAGCCTACTGCTCACAAGATTCTATAATTCTATTACTAGAGTCAACTTCACATCACAGGGAAGTAAGCTAGACAGCTGACAGAGTGATTAACATCTGCAGACTTTATCACTTTATGTTGCCAGGGTAACTGTGCCAGTGTTGCCCAGAATGACATGCTGATAGTTGTGAAGTAAGACACTTTAATAAACAGATACTGTACGTGTATTTCGGAAACAAAGTAACAACCAGTTAGACCTGCTAGTGCAAGGATTCAATGTTGATTAACTGCCCTGAAAATATTTAAATTGATTAGCTATGACTTTTTATGCAGCGTGGGTTAGGTCATACCTGTTATGTTTTCCCTGAGGTAAGAAAGTAGATATCCTCGTTTCAAAGTAATCAAACTGAAAATAGAGAGTGCCATTTTATTCTGTGGTAGAGGAACTTTTGTTGACTTGTTGAAATTTAGAAGAAACTTTGTGGTGCTCCTAATGAAAATCGGATTGTTTGAAGTTGTTCTGAGTCTGGGGACTTGCCATCCACATGTGATGACCTTGAATGTTCTCATATTTCTGTCCAGGGCTTTGACACCTCTATAATATTACTTACTGTACATACTCAGCTTATTTATATCTTGTAGGAAATCACTAATCAACACTGTACTAAACAATAGCAGAGTTGTTGAAGAGTTGGATATTTAGCAGGATTATCCAGGAACACTATCAGTGCTTGCTCCTAGCAGAGACTTTTGTATTCAGATATTTCTGGTTTAGAACCCATTGTTGTTTTGCAGCACCTCGGTTTAGTCTTTCATAATATTTGCCTTCATATAAATAGTGATCCTGAAACAAAGAGTTTTCAAGAACCTCTAGGGACTATGCAAAAAGTTTCCTTTTATTCATGAATAGCATCATAAAGGCGTTTTCAAAGTAATCTATTTCAGGAGTTTTTTTTAATATTCAGCTTTTTTAAGCTTTAGAGTTTGGAAAATGAAAGGTCTATAAAATAAACACGTTATACTACAAGACTCCCAATTCCCAAAACATACTGACCAAAATAATAGAAACCCATGCAGTATAAACTGCTTGAGCAAAAAGTAGCATATGTTTCATAACTGTTCTGAAATATTTCCAATCCAATCCTGTTTCATTCAGTTTAAATCCCTTTCAGGTGAGATGTGAAGGCCATTGGTGTGTGGGATTGCCCTGTATGTTCCTTCACTTTTCAGCAGGATGGTCACGTGGGGATTGCTTTGGCAAAGGACGGTAACTGGAGGTGGTTTCATCTCTTCAGTCTACCCGTGCATTGCCTGACACAGGAGTCTATTCAGTTAACCAGGAATTCCTAATTTACTGGCCAGTCAGTCTTTGACGTAAAGGTTGATGGCCTACAGTATGTAGTGTTGTAGATAAAATGCTCACTAAGCCGTTCTACCTTGGATACGGTGTTGAAGCTCTTTGTCTTACCCTGTGGGCATGGTGCATTGTCAGCACCTGAGGGAGGACTGCCAGGCAGGGGAAAGCTGTAGACACTCTGGTCAGAAGAGAGCGGAAAGGGGCATTTGGGGTAGCACTTCCTCATCAGCTGGGTAGCGGACATCACCAACGATTCCAGAGCCTGATTTGCCAGGCAGGCCTAGAAACAGCAGAAGCACCAGAAACAGCTATATTATCCATCAGAAAATCATCCCTGCAAATTATAGAGCACCATTTAGGACTAGCAACTGGAGGCACTGCACATGGAAATGATAGAAAAGGGAAGACAATGAAAAAAAGTAGGATATACAAAAGAGATGAGGAAGGAGCCAAAGTGCAGTCTGAATGGTAAAAGCAGATTTTCCCATTATAATTGTATCCGTTTTCTGTCATTGTTTAAATGCATGCACAGTGCAATGTGCATCTTACTACACACTACTGCTCAAAACCTTGACAATCCATTTTAATAAAATCAAAATACCAGGGATACAAAACAAAGCACTTAACTTCAATGAAGAATTAAAATGTATTGTTCCTGATTAAGTAACTTAATATAACTTAACTATATATAACTATATATATAGTAACTTAATATAACAGTACACTGTTTTCTTGCTACACTCCATCTTCCTGGCTATTGGACAATTATTATGAAGATTCATTGCCTTTTTATTCTTTTGCAACTCCAGAAAATGTAGTAGACAACAGTAAGCAAAAAAGTCAGTTTAATTTTTCAAGAGTTTTTACCATAAATTGAAATGGCTCATTTTGACTAATACAGCTACAATATGCTGTCTGTTTCAGTTTCCTAACGCTAGTCTATGGGAATAATAATTACTAATAATCTCATCTCAGCAAATATGTAGTGAGCAGAGATACTTTATGATGCACAAAGGATTACTGGCACGGCAGAGCTCACCTTGGTTTCTAAAACAACTTGAGCAGCTCAGCACTGACAAGCACCATAACTTGTGAATGAAAACTCCTTTAACAGATCAGTTATGATTAAATGGTTTATACGTTTTTGTGTGCTTTTACAAGGGTATGCATTCTGTATGTGTGTATTGTGTGCTATATAGGTATAATAATTTTTCTCAAAGTTCTCAAATCTCTAGCTCTCTTGGAAAAAAAAATCAATACCTCTACCCTGGGCTCATGTATCACTTCACCAGCTATCCTCAAAGTCAAGGTAGTGTTAACCTGCTTGTACATCATGGTTTTAGAGCATCATATCATATTGATTTATGCCTGTTAATAAAGTGGGTATATATGGCATCAGGTAGACTATGAGCACATGGAATGAGCAAAAGAAATCACTCTGAGAGTAGAATGTGCCATGTTTGTGTGCATGCTCACTGCAGAGGAAAATTAATTATATAAAACCAAAGGAAAGCACTACATAAATAAAATCAAACATTTCAAGTCAAAATCAAACCAGCAATGAAATAGGTTTACAGTTTACAGTAAATGCTCACAGTTTAAATGATCCATTATACCACTTTCTTGCATTTACTACAGGCACTTCAGTGTCCTCCTGCATATAGCAAACACACAGTGTCACTAGTTTCCTTTAAAATGATAAAATTAAGATGAAACGCAGCAGGTTTACAAAACTTTGGGAGAGAATTCATATCACAATAGTTGAGTCTATACTGCTTTTATGCAATCCTGCACACCATTCAGCACCCTGGACAGCGCTCAGCAGGAAAATTCAGCAGCAGCAAACCCCAGTAGTCAGCCCAATTCGAAGGAAGTGATGAAAACCTGCCAAACACCCTTTGTGAAAGCTAAGCAAGAATTGCAAGTCACTCACTTAAGAACACAGTGGTTAGAGCTCCTCGTATTCTTCATACTGTATAACTCACTAGCACTACAAAGACACGGGCCAGAATGCAGAAAAATTATACATACAGAACATGTGTGACAGAAGATACTATTCAGTCAAGATCTATCCAATATCTATCAGTGTATTTCTGTAAGATCTGTTCATCACAGCTCTCATCTGACATTTCTAAATTTACAAAATAAAATACTTGTATGTCCATGTTTGTGTTTATGAAAAGTGTTTTACTGCACTGCAGGGGGCTGCTGTCTAAAACAGCAAAGAAAGGATTTAATGTTGTGGAATACACAGAGGAAAGGAAAGACTGGGTAAGGGGTGAAAAGGGGGTTTTTAGACTTAATTGAGATTTTCTGTGGATGAGAATGCAACTCCTGAAACAAAACAAAGTCACTTTTGATGGGTGTGGCATAAAATCTTGCAAGAAACTTGGAAGCACAAGAGCACAGTCAAGAGAAACTGCCGTTCATCTGGGCGTGTTAAATGTGACAGGCGCAGTCCCACGAGGGGGCAGTTTACCTGCGTGGTGTGGAAGAGGAGGCGCATGCCCCCCTGCTCCATCAGGGCGCTCCTGCCCATGGGGAGGCTGGTGGCGTGGTGCAGGCAGTGTAGAAGGGCCCGACGGATGGGCACACGCCTGTTGTCCGTGTCCTTCAGGTGCCAGTCTTCGTACAGCTTCAGCAGGGCAGAGATGTAGCCCCTGCCCACAGTGCAGCGGACGTTGGACTCTGGGAGGGAAAAAAGCGACTTGGCTTTATCCTTCCATCTTGCTACTTCTTTCTGCCTCTTTCTTTTTTGGTCTTCTTCATCCCAGACTCATTGGTTTCATCCTTTTCCTTTTTTCATAAGCCCACTGCCTGACTTGAGAAATACATGTACTGTATGTGCAATATCTGCACAAAGAATTACATTAGACTACTTATTGCAGGATTGTTTTAGTCCTACCCAGTTAATCTATTGCGTTCGTGGTGTTGTTTTTTTTTCAACAAAATTGGATATAGGAAGAAACAGAAGTGCTGTAGCAGAGAATTTAACAGATTCCTTTGGAAAATGAAAAACCTCTGCATCTGTACAAGTATGAATCATTCTTATAAATGAGGAAATTTGTCAGAAACAGCCTTCTAAAAATTGAGAAACTTTGGTTATTTGTGTGGATGCAATCCTCATATTTAGACGGAACACCTTAAAAGAGTACCAGGAATTAATTTCTCAAAACCACTGTTGTATGGTATTACTCAACTGACTAGAGCTGAAAAGTTTTTACTTGTAATGACCAAAACTGAAAATGTGCTAGTTTCATTTCTATTAGACTTTTTACATGAAAACTATTATCAAACTTAAAGAATTACACAATAATAGAAGCTTAGTGCCATCTCCAATCTCAAATACAAAATTCCATGCAATTAGTTGTTATGGCAATAATGCATTGGAATGTAAAATAATAGGAAAGAGAACTAAAGATCTCACTGAAGTAATTTCTCCACTTGTTTAGCAATATTCAATTATTATAGTATTCTTAATTTCCCAATTATTTAATTGCTTTGTTCATGCAAATTGCAGCTATGTGTTGATAATTTTTTTTTAATGGAAAAATAATTTAAAGATAAAAACATGCTGTGATTTCACTGTGTTTTTGTGCTCCTTGATATTATTGTGTATTATCAGGTTCTTTATTAATTAAGAAAAATAACATATGTTTTGTGATTATCTTCAAATCCAGAAGGAGCCTTACATTTTAGTCCTAAATGGATTAAAAATAATTAATTGGAGTGCATAGACCTTTTTTCTTATTATTTTTTAAACCAGGAATGAACTTTGCATCAATTAATATATTAGCAGCATTAGCATAAGAAGAGGTTTTTTTCATTTGCATTGGCCTCCTGTCTGTTTACTCTGTTGTTCTGGGTAAATATGTATTTCATGCAGCTGTATTAGTTATTAATATTTATATGGACAGTGCTGCTTTGTTTCTTTGTGTTATGCTTCACGGTACATTTTATTTAAAAATCTAATGAAAATAGGTGTTCTGCTGGCACAGAAGATAAAAATAAACTAAACACTAATAGCAGGGAGAGAGAGGGGAGAAACATGAGTCCAACATGAAGGGTCTTGTGTTCTTAAAGGCAGGGGCTGGGACCGTCAGAGCACAGACTGCAAAGGAACAAAACAAGGTTTATTCCTCCATGAAAAGTAAAAATAAACAAGTTTTTCACTTTCTTTCTTTCTTTGTACTGTTCAGTGTGGAAGTTACCTCTTCCTTTTGCTTTTGGGAAAAGCTTTTCAAAAACTGAGCCTCTTCCCTATTAAAAAGAATGAAAATAACAGAGATTCTGTAAAATACTTAACACAAAATGAAGCAAAAAAAATCTCTACTGAAGAGTAGTTTTCTGAATCCTTCAGGGTTTGACGGGGACTGTCAAACAAGAATATAAAGATATTTATACCACAGGCACAGAAGTGAAAAATGGACAGTTCTACACCATTGAGGGGTGATACATGTCATTGGGTTTGGTTGAATATGTTGAAAAACCCTGCATTGCATCTGTAACACAATTCTACATTACAGGCTCATTGCATCAACCAGCAGAATAATTAACATTACTGTACCAATGTACTCTGAATTTGAAGCCAAGGTTTGTGAGCAATGGTATTGCAAAGCTGAATGAACTATCATGGAATGCATTACAGCACATCTAGGCAACTGTTTTGTTACTGGAGGAATTATTTGCTTAGCATTGATTAAATCCACATAGCAATTAGAATATGTCCTACAATTCACTGCAATAGCACAGCAGATCATACTTGAATTAACTGCCATACAACTAATATCTAACAGCCTGGCTGAATGTAATGATTAAAATACAAAATGTATGATACAGACATAAAAAGCTGCATTTTGGTAGACTACCTGCTCCAGGGTAAAGTTAGAGAATGGATAAGTTACCTTCTGCAGTTACTGTTGAATGGGTAAAAAGAAGAACAGTGGATTAATATAAATTCCTGTGTAATGTTCCAAATGCCCAACTCACAGTTTCAGAGTCAATTTGACGTGACACTAGACACAACCATAGCTAACCTTCTTCACCTTTTTTCATGACAGTGAACAAGTTTTCCTATAAGAACTTTTTGGAGCTGGTGGATGTGAAGTTCATAATGAAAAGTGCAGCCAAACTGTACGATTTTCATCTTTCGTCTTTATTATTTATGAAGCTAAAGCTCGGTCATGCTAAGGAAAGGCCATAGAGCAGTTCATATTTGAAAAACTATGTGCAAATTCAAAGGGCATAATGTTCTAAACATTAGCACTGTTAATGTGTTAACCATGTAACAAGATAAATACACTTTAATCCATAATAAAGACACAGTTGCTCTCAATCTATTGGTTTTGGAAAGACTGAAATTGAAGGAATTTTAGAAACCCCAACCACTCACTTTAGAGACAAAAGATTGCCAGCCAGTCTGCCAAGATAATATGTAAAAGACATCAATTACAGGTTTAGCTAGTTGCTGAAACAGTGCATGCCAGGGACATGAGAAATGTACACAACATGTAACAAATGCTAGAATGCAGCCAAAACTGTGCATCACAGATGAATTAAAGCTGGTTTTAGAGTCCCTGTAGATTCGCAAGCAAAAAAAGACTTGTCCACCACAGGTCAGAATGAGCTGTGTTCAGCCTAGTACGCCTGCTCGTATCACTTTCCCAGTCAGCGTGTTTGTTTATGGCCACGCACACTTTGGGTGCTGGCGTTCATACTCAACAGGACTCACTTTACTCTCAGCTCAGTGCTTGGGGCAGGTGTCTCAGCCAGCCAGGACACAAGCTGAGAATACAGCTTACTAAAATATTAATTAATAATAAAAATGGAACGGATTTCACCTGGAACTCAAGTGGATCAATTTTCAGAAATCAGGCATGAGCTAATACCAAATAAATCCAGTTATAATCAAAAATCATCTGGATCTTGGTTTGTACATTTCTCTGGTTTTTAGATGTTCCGATTGACGCAGGTTATTCACATAATAAATATTCTTTAAAAATGGGGCATTAGAGTTGGTTTAACAATCTCTGTGCCATATTGAAATTAAAAAACCACATAACAATGACTCTTAGATGAGAAATTGGAAAACAGCATACTGTACATGCAGGGCATATTCAAATGTTTTTTTAAATGATTTTCTTTGTAAAATATGTATGAAAATACCTTAAATCATCTAAGGTAACTATATACTGTAGCTACATGAGTCTACAGATCTATATCTTTATTGCCTGCAAAGCAACGACATGATAAACCAGCAGCTCAACAACCATTTCCAGCAGTGTGATTAATAATATTCACAACCCCCACTTCAAAACACCTTTAATTCAAACAATAACAGTATAATTTTCAAAGAACATTTTAAAAGGATAAGACTGAAAAAGATTTAGCAAAATTAGAAGAAAATTGGTTTATCTCATTATTAAGAAAACTAAATACCAGTCATGATTACGTGCCTAACAAAGAAAAGCCTTAAAGAAGCAGTTGCAATACTGTCTCAGGTCATGCTTTTTCATGATTGTTCGTTCCAAATGAAAAGACAATTATAGATATTAAATCCAAGAGCAACACAAGATCATATTTGTGAATGCAGTTAATGTTTGGTGAATTTCAATCGTTTCTGACTCACACTTGACATAAACAGCAATACAGAAGCTGAGAAATAGAAAATAAATTCCTAACCACTTACTATTGTAGTAATATTTTTTTTTTTTTATCAGAAGTGCTAGGATGTTAGGGTTTTAATCAGACTATTGCATAGCAAGGATGCCTCTGAATAAGATTTTTAAAAGAATCCAGACATAAAGATATGCGCAGGCAGAGATACTAAGACTCTATATTACATCAACAGGTTTATAGCCTGTATTTAAACCTGATAGGGCAAATGGGCAAAGCAGAAGCATTCAATCACATGGTCATGCTGCCACCTACAGGCAGATTAACATGCTTTATTATTACAGCCTACCTCTCTGTTTACTACTCACGAATTTATAGCTAAGAGCATTTTTATGCAAGCAGAATTCAACACTAATTTAATTTGTTTTTGCATTGAAAGTACACCGTACTGAAAAATAACAATATGCAAACTAGCCTGAAAGGATGTTGAGTGAATGTTTATTGAACTATTTTACTCTTGCAGTTTTACGGTGCAGTACATTTCATTATCACTTGCAAAACAAAGCAGATGTCATCAAGAGATCTGAGGCTCAGCACCTATTTCACAGAACCATTGTGCAACCAAAGCTACTACTGTGTCATTTTGAACTATTACATCTACATTTTTTTTATTACTTAGTGTATTTTTTTCATCCATAATATAAGTGAAACCTATGGTTTCAATGCAAAGAAACGGGCCAGGCTATTCAGTTCTGATAATGATCAAGCTGGGGGTACACAAATAAGATGGGAATATTTTACAAAAAACTCTTGTTATGCCGTAGAGCTAACCTGTTGCAAAAACACTTTGAGAAAATGTTGTTAAGAGTCGAATTCTGGGGGATATGATGATTGAAACGATGGTGAGAAGACTGAGCCAAGCGCAGTATGTTGTGTGAAGCTTTACAAACCATACAATAATAATAATAATAATTGCTTACACTTATATAGACACTCCACTCAAAGCGCTTTACAGGTAAGGGGGACTCCCCTCCACCACCACCAATGTGCAGCATCCACCTGGATGATGCGACGGCAGCCATAGTGCGCCAGAACGCTCACCACACATCAGCTATCAGTGGGGAGGAGAGCAGAGTAATGTAGCCAAAAATAGAGGGGGATTATTAGGAGGTCATGATTGGTAAGGGCCAATCTCATCCAGGAGAGTTTTACATCTCATCCAAGGGACGGCGTCTGTTTACAATATAGTGTCCCCATCACTATACTGGGGCATTAGGATCCACATAGACCGCAGGGTGAGCCCTCTTCCAGCAGCAACCTTAGTTTTTCCCAGGAGGTCTCCCATCCAGGTACTGACCAGGCTCACACCTGCTTAGCTTCAGTGGGCTACCAGTTGTGAGTTGCAGGGTGATATGGCTGCTGGTATGTTTCAAGAAATGTTTCAGCCAGGGAGAGCATACCTTTAGAGAAATATTATTTTTACTCACAATGTTCTGAAGTGATCTGTATCCATTACAAACCCTAGTTCCTCCTTACAGTATTTTATAGTCCCCCATTATTAGAATTGCAGTTTTACCACAGTATTTTCCACAAATAACCATGAAGATAATATTGGCTGTTTCTTAACAGGATTTCACAGGGATTCTCATAAAAGCTGAACTGTGGAGGAATCGGTTCTCCGTGAGCACCAGCCTCAGGAGAATATGTGCTTTGTCACCTTTAATTATGATCAGTAATGAGCTCAGGACGAGCATGACAGCTCTGCTGCAGATGGGGAAAGGATGAAAATTACAAGTGAATGACATGGTATAGGACAATGCCAAAGAGAAAAAAGAGAAATTTCCACATTGACATTTGACCCAGGAGGTACTGAGAGTATCCCCATATTAATGGCACAGGTTTCAGTTTCAATCAAGCTTAGGGAACCACTCATGTGGGGAGCATTTAGCTCATTAGAACAGAATGGAATGGTGGAACATCTCAAGGAATTCACAAAACTGAAAAGCAACTCTGCATCTCAACTTCATGAACAGGTTAATCCCCAGAAAAGCTGTACAAGAATCCTTCTACACACAAGATGGGGACCTGGCTTGTATCACCCAAATTTCAAAGGTTATTGAAGGAATCCTAATGATTTTCAAAGACTAATTACGGCTTTTGATTTTGCTACTTGTCAATCCACTCTCACTTAACCTATCCATTAAAGTAACGCTTTCTTTCTGCCACTAAGTAAGTCTGAATGAGACATCTCTCTCTGCGATACAATTTACAGGAAATGTACAATAGGTACACTGGGCAGCATCTTTTAAGATTCTTTAACCTTAAATAAAGCTCCCATTAAGGTGACATGCAGTTTTCACTGCTTGGAGACCTGTCTTCATTATTGTCCTTTCAATTAGTACATCTATCAAAGTCATCAGATCAGAACTCTTCCATATCACCCAAACCAGCAATTCCAGTGATGTATTGACATCACTGCTACCCAGACACCATCTATTTTCACTATGCTGAGACATCGCTTAACTTTGAAACTGTTGTCCTGAGGGATGAGGCACCTAAAGGTCTGCATAAGTCTGTTTTTTCATCAATGTAAAGAATAGTTTTCCTTGGAGGTTTTGCATGCCTGTACTGAACAGGATGAGCCTCGCCTAGCTTCTGAGATTTGACAAGACCAGACTACAAGGCGGAAAACTCTGCTGCTCCTGCTGTTGCATTCAAAAAGGAAGACCAATGCAGCCCTGCTTCCAAGCACTGCATCTATTTTGGGAAGGCGCATATCCATTGGAGTCTATCCCAGAAGCTTAGGGTGCTTGAGTGCATGCTGTAAAAATAGGAGTCTTAGCTGCCTGGTGCTCCACCTGGTATTCCACCTGGGGAGAGGGCTCTCCTGTTGGGAGTCTGCTGTGCTATATTCCTGGAAGAAGAGCATCATGGCCACCACATCAGCCTGCTTTAACACAGTGGACATAAAACTGGTAGTAGTAGTTCAGGTGGGTAACTGCGTCAACATGTGTAGGCTGCAAAGGAACAAGTAATAGGTTTATTCCATGCCGGATAGAGGTGTTAGGGTTAGACTTTCAGAGAGGATACTTAGGGTTAGGTGTCCACACCTGAAGAAGGCTCGATGGCCGAAACATTGTGTTTTCTTTCTTCTCTTTTCAGCATGGAGTAAACCTTTTACTTGTTCCTATAAAACTGGTCATTACATACTTCCTGGCCTCCTGGTATCTGTTCAGGGATCTTCTGATGGATTGCAATGGACTTCCACACCATTCATCCAGTGTCATTATTCTGTTCACAAATCAGGGTTTTGATAATAATAATCTAGCATTATCCTTAACAGGGTCATTGTTACACTTTTACTTACTGTATTTATAGTCCGGATTAGTAAAAATGTATTTGTTACAGAAGGCACATTTCCTAAACAGACTATTCCATTAAAATGTAGTCCTCACTAATTTGAATTTGCATTTGCCACAGACATTATTTGGGCCACACTCCCACAGACTACTAGTAAAGCAGCTGTCTAGTTAAAATTGTGCTTTTAAAATATCTCCTTGCCAGCCATGTGAATACAATTATGCAGATAAATGCTTTGAAGTTGACACAATAATAGCTACTATATTTGAAGCAGGTCTCAGTGGGTCAGAAAGGCAGGTTTTTGTGCATCTCCTTCAGTTTAATTTATTACAATAAATATGGCCTTAGGATTTTTTTTGTTTCTTTGTACTGGTAATGAGTCATACTCCATTATTCAGTATAGAGGGCATTATCAATGTAATTGATATCATTAAAATAATACTGTATAATGCATGTTGCAAACTTAACTAAAGACTGAGGGTTTTAATTAACTTTGTCCTCACCATTCCAATGCATGGACAACAGTAAATACACTTTTCAAGGGTTTTCCATCCTTGATTTGTCCAATCTTTTATGTAAAGGCTTGGTTTAAAAGGCATGCAATACAAAATCAATACCTCCTTGAATTAGTCTGTTCTGTTTGAACCTATGCCCTGTCTTCCTTCTGTCTCCTGAAAAAACAGCTGCTTGTCAGTATAAACATGCCTGGTTATTCATGGTGTTGCATTATTACATAATTTTCTGTGCAAATGTGCATTTTTATAGCAGTGTATAAATACCACACATTGATCCTTCAGCTATATTTCCTTAACTCATGAAGTTAATTAATTGCACTGAAAAAAATCAAATAGTTATGAAATTTACAATCTGCAAAATGTATGTGCTGTTAAAATCTTTGCTGTTATTTTGCTATACTTCTGTACAATCAATAGGTGCACTGCTGATGCAAATGATGCCATTCCTCCTGTCTTTGTTTCCACCTCTAGGAGAATCCTGAAAATGGCTGTACAGTATGCAGCATTCCTCTCCAAGATGCCACTGAGGTACCGAATTGTTCCTTCATAACAGTCATACAGTTTGTGAAAAAGTTATTGTGACACTCTGGTGGAGAATACTGTATACTCTCTAAGTATTAGTGCATAGCACTCTTGCTTATTTTAATTAACAGAGACTGATTCTATAAAATTGTTTGTTATACATTCTTTGAAGCTCTGATAGTCTAAAATGAACTCGAAAGATGTTCCCAGCTATAAAATAAAAAGCCATCATTTGGAGCACAAAGGACTCCTTTCAGTGTAGCTTAGGAACAGGAAAATGTGGAGGTGATTGTCATAACAATTTTGTGATTTACCATGTTAGTTTCAACGCGTTATCCATCTACACATGCAGCAGAAATTACTATGACAAAGTTGCAGAACACTGTAGTCTAATGCATGACTTAGTAAAAGCATAACTTGTTGCAAAATCATGTTTTGTAGTAAAACCATTGTGCATTTTGTTACAAATTGAATATTTTATCCACATTATAATAATTATTATTATTTACTGTATAAATATTTAAAAAAAGAAAAGAATCAGAACTTACTTGAATTTAACAGTGCTGCGAGTGCATCTATTGCTGCCCTGCAAAACAAAATTGATCACAGTTGAACACAAGTATTTATAAAATATATTTCTGATAAAGTACCTAAGTATCTCTTTTTTACTGCTCACAAAAACGCTAGCATTGCATTGGAACTTTTCCAAAAACATTGTCAGCATTCATGCTCAATGCACAACAATATCTCAGTTATGTTCATAGTGCAACATAAAGCATTTTTTAAATAGAAAGATGAAATTATGTGTTTTAAGAATATGTACACTGTATATGCGTGGTTTCTGCATTCAGGTGACTGTTTTTTTTTCATTGTAAAAATGCAGTAGGTCTAAGTTAACAGATTTTTTTCTCATAACTTTAAGCATGAAAAGTTATATCTTCAAAAATTGATATTCCTGCACACAGCTCAGTTGTTGTTTCTCAGGATGGTGCCAGACAGTGTGAATAAAAAGGTGTTCAATTGAAAAAAACACTATTGAAATTCTCTTATGAAATTGAACTTATATAAAGGAATGAAACTTTTATAGGGGTTTTGATGTTTTGAGATACACATAAACAATTCTATCCTTACAGTTTTTTCAGACTCCCCCAATGTCTTACGCATGGTCATTCATATGATCTGATATGGTAAACAAGCGAGTAATCCAGACTGACAATTTGCATATTTTAACACTACAAATGAAGAAAATATTACATTTGACTCATTTGACATACCACAGAGTGCATGCAAAACTGGAATGAGATTTAACAAAGAGAATAAATTGATATATCTTAAATTATCAATATTTTATAACCATGTAGATTGTTGTATAAATAACTATACATTGTACTTTTTAAATGTCTAAAACTAAACAGCTCCTTTTTACAATGTTTTTTTAATTTATTTTTCAGCTTCAAATAGTAATAATAATAATAAAAAACTTTATTTTATATAGCGCCTTTAAAGGTGGCTTCTCAAAGCGCTTTACAGGATGACAATAACAATAAATAAGAAGACTACAACAATAATTAAGAAGATTTCACAAGATAGGACACAATTATAATTACAACAATACAACAATAACAATAGAGGAGACTGTGGAAGGTGGTATTAAGAAGAGCAGAGGAGTGAAGAATGGAACCAGTTAAGTAAAGGCTTTTCTGAAGAAGAAGGTTTTGAGTTTAGATTTGAAGGAGTTTAGAGAAGGTGACTCTCTAATATCCTTGGGCAAAGAGTTCCAGAGCTTAGAGCTTAAATAGTGCATTAAGGAGTTAAAATATTAGAGCATTTTTTCAGGTAAAGTTTGTTTGTAAAAGATCCAGGTTTCTTAGGTACACAGAGAAAATACACAGCCTCCAGCTGTAGAGCAGACATAGGGGAAAAGCAATTTGAATTGGTTTTATTTTTTGATTCACTTTGATTTTGATTAGTGGGAAGATTCTCTTTAGGAATTTGTAGTGATTGTTTCATGACCTAAACCAGGTCATTTAACTTCAGGTGGGTAAAATCCAAAATCCTAATCTATTCAGCATTAAAAAACATTCAGGTTTATAGATATTCCAGCTCTCCAGTTGCATGCTCACAGGAAACGAGCTGATAACAGCTTGGAGACATACCACACAGCATTTTGCAAAAGAAATTCTAATGCCATGTCAGACATTGAACAACAACAATAGAATCAGTAGAATGGCTCTCCCCAGCGATAAAAATGAATTATTGTTGCACACTGACGCAGGGTCATTATACTGTTTCTGTGTTGTTGCTGTGGGTAGTATTATTCTCATCCAGCTCTATGATGCTGCCCACTGCATCAAGTGAGATGACAATCTGCACAGTACCGCTTATCACCAGGAAGAGGCCTGACCACATTACAAGCCCATTAGCGTTCTCTCACACAGAGGCAACCACAGTCTTTCTACATACAGGTTAGCATTTGGACTTGGAGCACCTCTTCCCTGCAGCGTCGGTGAAAAGGCCGACTGACCTGTAGCAGTAACACACCCTCGCCATGGTAAAAGAGTGCACTCCAGAGCTCACACTCCAAAACAAGCACAGTGCAGGAACGGAGACGTGTGCTCCTTTAAACAGGGGCAACAGGCATGAAGCAGCAAACTGTTCTAGTAAAAAAAGCCATTTGGTCTGTCTCTCTGCAAACGTTTCTAAATTTTAAGATTATTCGGTAGCAGTGTTAATTACAGTAACAATGAAGCTACTGCATATGAAGACAATTGATTTATCGTTTTTACACTGAACTCTAACACAGATGCAAATAAAAATGTATAATGAAGTATATCATACATTTTATGTATGCAGATGAATACTGACATTTGTCATATGTGATACAAGAAGTTTATGTACCAATCCTACTTTTACATTCATAATACATGTGAAGCCAGAAACTGTTGCTCCTTTCAGCCAATGTTTAATAGACCATTTAAAAAAATGGAACTGCCATCTTATATGGAATAGGAAGAGCTTATAAGTCATCTAGACCTATTATACTATACTATTATATTATACTGTATATATGACAATTACTGTATGCCCTTACTGTCAACATCTCATTCTTTTAAGAAGTAAGAGGCTGCTCAGACACTGCCTAGACCTACGCCTAATACAAGTTTTTCTAGACATGCTTGAAGTGGATGAATTTTATTCATACAGCTATGCCTTGAGATTACTCAATTGCTCAGCTCGGCTCCTTTTGCTTAAAAATAGTTAAATTGCTAGAATTTCCCAGTGTTATCCAGACATATTTCATCTAGACATCTGGCATAGCTACCAAATGCCAATGTAGACGGATCATTATCATCACTATAAACTGGGGTAAGTCCTTTACTAATGAAACATATGTGTATGTCAGTAGCAGAATGGAGCCTATGAATATTTGCTACAAGAGTTATATACTGTACATCTGAATGAGATCCTGGATTAATAAACTAACTACCATTATGCCAAATGGCCTCCTCTCAATTCTAATGCTATGATATGCTATCTAATGATATGCCTTTATCTAGGCAATGTAAAATAATTTACCTTACCATGAATTAAAAGATGTTTACGTTAAAAGTATAGACAAACCAGAATCTAACTGTGTCATTTACACCATCAGAAAATGTCCTAAGAGAAACTCAAGGCACACTAATCTTTTTGATATAGCTTCAGTACTATTGGGTGCTGATCCATTTGTCTGAATTACAACAGTTTTTCTTCTGCAGACATATTCAGCCAATCTGATTAACGTGAGCTCAAATATGATACGCAATTGACTAAATATATTAGACTGTCTCAAGTTTGATTATGAAAGGAATGAACATAAGATACATGCAAACAGAAATGCCATGCAGCGAGACAGTGTTTATATACTATTTATACTGTGACCTATAAATGAAAATAGATTTTCATTTAGTAGTATTTTGTAATCATGTTGTCTTTAAGATTTGTTTTATTCCAGCAAAGGGAAGTCAATTTATATTAAGTCAGGCATTTCCAGGGATTATAGAAACTACACATCCATCCATTATCCAGAGCCACTTCAGCCTAGGGCATCTCTAAACCTAACACAGCAGACTAGGGGAAAGAGTGGGACCAATTGGGAACAATTTAAAGACATAATCTAACCCAGCTAGCATTTCTCAAAGAAGAGCCCTGGGTTAAAACCCATGTGAACCCAGGCAGGACATGCAAAATCCACACAGAAGGTGCTCAAATCCAGAACTGGACCCCAGATCTGAGAACCGAAGGCAGCAGTGCTACCCCAGAGGCCAGAAACCATAGAGTATTGATCAAAAAGTGGCATATATTGATTGATTAAACTTGACTAACTACCCTTGCTAAGTTTAAAAAACAACAAAAAATATCATTGAAAAAACCTTTTTATTTTACCAGTGCATGTGTTTTCATGTTTTTGGCTAAACTCAGATTCAATGTTGGCACTTACTGTATCACAACATGCTTGTATGGGGAAAAAAACAGCTGTGTAGTTTTTAAAGCACCGTTTAATGGTATTTGGATGGTTTGTCAAAGACCATTAACTAAGTGATAATCATAAACAAACACAAGCACATCTGCCAGCAGAAACTGGAATAAGTCGAACAATACAGTTTAACTGAAGGGGGAGGACAACTGTGAGTCAAACCAACACATCACTAAAGTGCAAGGCAGCTCAAACATTAAGGCACATGTCTGGCCTATATCAACAGTCACTCAGTTCATCCACGAAACTGTGCAAATAATGTCCTCTAATCATTCCCTGGGAATGCAGCAAGAGGTCAAGCATTGCTTAACAGTTTCTCATTCCTAGCTGCCGCTCAAAGCAAGAGATTATCACAATTACAGGATGCGTTTGCTGCTACTTTGCCAAGGGAGATACGAAGAGGAGTGAACCTGACTGGCACAGTATGTCCCTTTGTAATAAACCACTACAGTTGTCAAAGGCTGTAAAGGACACCAGCTGATTCACTGTGCCCCACTGCAGTCAAAGGACTACATGAGAGGAAACTAAGGGGAGGCGTATATAATATCTGAATCATTATAAGAGATCATTACGTCATCACATCAAAAACCATCTACCAACCAACAAGGATTATGGGCCCAATTTGCAAGCCATGCTCTTAAATTTCTAGCCATTGTTATAATAATAATTGCTTACACTCTCTGGACACTTCACTCAAAGCGCTTTGGAGGTAATGTGGACTCCCTCCACCACCACCAGTGTGCAGCCCCACCTGCACTTCAACAGAGTGATGAAGCCAGTTCAGAGATGGGGATTATTAGGACGCCATGATTGGTAAAGGCCAGGGGGAAATTTGGTAAGTATCTGGGGTAACCCCCCCACTCTTTTCAAGAAACACCCTGGGATTTTTAATGACCACAGAGAGTCAGGACCTCAGTTATATGCTTCATCTTTATAGGTCATATGAAATGTCTACATCACTATACTGGGACCCACACAGACCACAGGGTGATTGCCCCCTACTGGCACTACTAACACCTCTTCCAGCAGCAACTTTAGTTTTTCCCCAGGAGGTCTCTAATCCAGGTACTGACCAGGCTCACACCTGCTGAGTTTCAGTGGGCTGCCAATTGGGAGTTGCAAGGAGATGAGATGAGTTGTGAGTTTTATAGAGATGAGATGACTGTTCTCACCCTATGGAAGCAAGTGCCCCGATTGAATTCTGCTGTCTTGGTCATTTTGTTATCCTCTTGCCCATTTTCTGTCTCTTTGGATCCTTTCCAGCATCTCTGCTGGACCCTAATGGGCCAGTCTGCTTGCACCCTGCCCTGCCTGTTGTCCCTTTAATTCCTTTCACTTATGAAACTCCTTTAACTCTTTGTTATTTCTTACATTAGTAAGATTACTAATTGATGTACTGGTATTGTTCTTTATAGTATATTCATCCTAAATAACCTGCTTTCCATTCAATGAACTCTGGAAAATTTACATCTGTATCCACCTGAATGAGTGTGATCCAAGGAGCATGTTTTAATTAAAATCTAATTTAAGACCAGTTTATGCAAATCGTGCAATTTGTGAAGAACAGATAAAAGTAATAATAATTGTCAGTATTTTTTCTTTACAGCTAAATTTCCTAATTTGTCCATTATACATTGTTTGTGTGTCACACTGTAATTGCCTTTACAATAACAAACTGTAGAACAATAATATGACTCAATGCATTCATGGCTCAGATTATATTCAGTATGTAAATGTGTGACTTCAAGAAAGGACTGATAATTTTAGTCATTGTTCCATCACGGATCTCTAACATATGGGGTTTGTAGTACTAGAACAGTAAATGCCCAGAACTTTTGTGCCTCACATTCATTGAGAGTTCAGAAAATCAAAAGATTTCATAGCATGCAGAACTTTTTGGTTGTGGCTGTTCTTGGCTGCTGCATTTTCTTGATCTGAGTCTCTTTGTTTTTTTTTACTATTTGCCTTAAAGACAAAGCATACAGAATTAATATACATACTGTACATCTGAGGCTTTGACATAACAAAAAGGCTTGGCATACGTTCTAATAATAGAATAATAGAACTTTCTAATAGTAAAACTTAAATGCACAACAAAGTGAAAAACCTTTTCTTGAAGACTCTACATACAGTACAAGCATATGTTTTATCATCATTCTTTATTACCATGTTGAATAAAGTTTTTATAGAGATGAGATGCCTGTTCCCACCCTATGGAAGCAAGTGCCCTGATTTAATTCTGAATTCTGCTGTCTTTTTGTTATCCTCTTGCCCATTTCCTGTCTCTTTCCAGCATCTCTGCTGGACCCTAATGGGTCAGTCTGCTTGCACCCTGCCCTGCCTGCTGTCCCTTCCATTTTTTTCACTTATGAAACTCCTTTAACTCTTTGTTATTTCTTACATTTGTAAGATAACCCATTGATTTACTGGTATTGTTCTTTATTTATTTAAATCACGCACTGCTCCTTGTTTCCTTATTTGCTGGTGTGTGGTATTAATTTTGCCTTTAGGGAGGTTTCACACTCATCTTAGTGCAGGCAGCACTTTTCCATTTAATTATTTTCTTGGAGGCATGGATATGTAAACAAAGTAGATAAATAACACTGGACCTTGATTTCAAACAGGTGTGTCCCACTTCTTAACCTCTGAGTTAAACCTGTAGTTAGACACTTGCAGTACTGAACCAGCACAGTATTTGCTGTTAGTTAACAAACGTGCTGTGTCAGAAAAACGACTTCCTTAATGCCAACATTCTTAAAAACCCAGGGCTGTGACATCACAAGAACAGTTGATTAAGCGTGATGAGGTCTGTGACATCAATCACATACAGGTATATAAACACATACATTCTATACTGTACAGTATATCCATGTGTCTGTGGTGGGGTTGCCACTTCACCATGCTTATGAATTGACATGACATGTGCTGTTTGTTGAGCCTTAGCTTCTTTTGAAAAGAGGTAGTAGGTAACACTAGGGAGCAAAAAAATTAAATGTTTCGACATGTAATAACAACAAAACCTGAAATAATCTTGGATATTTGAATTTTCATTTTCTTCTAATTCAACACTGTAATTTAGCAGTTACCCATGTTATGAAGGCGTCTGCATCCGGTAATTAACACAGTGCTCTAATTCTCACAGGCTCTTTTTAAAGACATGAATAACACTGATCAACTATTCAGACAATCTGATCAGAGGAAGCTCTGGGTGCCAAACACACCCAGGATAATAGATTCAGCTTTGCCATCTGTTTTGAGCCAACCGATATGTCTAGTCTGCATTCACCAGGGGTGTCAAACCCTGGTTCTCAAAGCTGGTGTTTCTGTAGGTTTTCCTTCATTCTAAATCAACTCTTAATGAGCTAAATCAGCTGTTTCCTAGTTTAACTGGACCAATTTAACAGCTTAACAGCTTCAGGCACTGTTTCTTCAAACAGACCTTGAAAACCTGTACACTCCAGCCCTCCAGGCTCAGCACTGGATGACCCTGGTTTACACACATGCATACATACTCTAGAAACTGCTTTCAGTAGAAAACTTTGATACTACGGAGCAGAAGAAAGGGATATAAATGCAGGACATTTGCAATTGCAGGGAAAAAAAATACTATTTAAAAAAAATGATCAGCCAGATAAAAATTGAAGACCGTCTATTTACTGCCAAAGAGGGTATTAGAGAGAGAAGTTTGATGTGAAATAGCTCTATGTAAGAGTATTAGTGCAAAGCATTTTTTACTTTAAAATAAATCATGTGGCTCCCCATTTACACAAACATCTTAGCTGCAATACTATAAAAAATCTGTATTAAGTATGAAGTAAAAGTCTGCAAGCATTTACTGATCAGAATGGTATGCAGTATATCTATTTATTAAATCATTTTGCCAGCCCAAATGTTTGAGATTTGGAGAGACTCAATCTGAAGGCATTACCTCTCCAGTAAAATGCATTAAAAGCCATTTCGCTTATCAGCCAACTGCTACGTGTAAAAGACCTGTTGTTTCTCAGGGGGGCAATTTCCTGATTATGAAAGACGATGTCTCACTGTGCTATTAAATGAGAAAAAATGAAAATGAATGGCTTATCAGGGATTTTAAAAAATATGGCTTAACCATTTATAGGCTGTAGCAGATTTTATTTTATCCCTCAGGAGCTTATTCATCCTTTCAAGTATACCCAGCACTTGTAGCATGCATGTGAGTACTGTATATAATAGCAATTTCTTGGGTTCTCTACTGGCAAAGCAAATGACATAATGTCATGATATACTTACTTGATCATACGTGTGTGCTTCTTGGAGTGAGGAGTTATGAGTTTAAACACCACATCCAGGGCCCTGTTTTTGCCAAGCAGAGCAGCTGCTGAAACTAGAAACACAGAAATACTAAATATATAAATAACATGTAATCAACCATTGAAGCCAAACAAGTACAAAAAGACCTACAGTATGAATAACATAACTTAATCTGGCATAATTTTGAGTGTATGGATTTGTACAAGCAACCATTAATCCTGTCTTCTGTTTCTTCTTCACAGCTTTGCAACCACAAATCTTTTTCTGAAGAGAAGTGGTTTCACTTAAATGTGTCTCCTAATTGGATTAACAGCATGGGGATATAATGGCACCTATTGTCAATATCAGTGTTTGCTGTAGACAGATGATCAATACCCCAGCCAAGCAAATGTGACATTCAAGCTCAAAAGTGGATTAGGTTGTTTTCACAGCAAAAGTGGCCTGTGATGCCAGTTATTCTGTGCCCTAAACACAGACCAAAATGTCTATTTCTTGGCACACAGCCACAAAGAAACAACAAGCCACAGCACCAAGGAGTGACTTTGTGTAGTGTACTTCAGCTTTTCTAGAATGAATCTTGAAGAGGCAGAAAACACCTTACATAAGAAAGGGATATGTAAGGGGTGTTATAAGTCTTTCTTTCAGTAGTGAAAAATAAGAGGAATTAGAGAGGGTGTGTATTTGAGGAAAGTCAAACTCAGAATATATCAGAATAAAAGGACTTGAAAATACTGTACTGAGGGCTGTGTTTGCTTGAATCTCATAGAATGAGAAAAACTTCCTTTGAAAGCAAACGTGGGCATTCTAAAGTGTTTAACAGAATTTTCCCTAATCACATTTTTCTAATTGTTTTTTACAGACATAAATGCTTAAATGGTTAATTCCTCCAAAATAATGTTGTGTGGGTAATTTAATTCAGAAAGACAGCGCAGTACATAGTTTCACTAATGACTAGAAAACAGCCTTCTTTTTTGTATCAATCTCTTCTATGGGTTAATGTAACTAATGTGGTTCTATAAGGAACATATATATATAAAATTCAAGAGTGATACATGACAGTCATGTCCAGTGGACTACAAATATGTGACAAGCACATGATAATCTCACCATCACAATCACACTGTCCTTCTGTCAACCAAGAAAATCAAAGCAAAACCATAATAAACCTCTTGCTCGCTCGCTCACCAAATTACACAGTATTAAAGGCTTTGCCTGATTAATTAAAGGTTATCAAAACTAAGCTATTATGGACTTTGGCACACGCATTCATACACAGAACAGTTTAATGACATTATTATACTGTGATACTGTGGTTTAAATGACACTGCTTACATCAAGCCAAGACCAGTGCACAGAGACTGCTGAGTGCAGGAACTCACCACAGGAACAGAAGACTCTGAGCACCCATAGGCAAGCTGCAGCCCTCTTCGGATAATGTATGTTCAGCCTCAGCAAATTCAGGACCAAGAGAACAGCTTCTACCTTCTCTGCTTTTTGGCCAATCTTTTTGTCTGTTGGAAAGAAAGCACATGTGCTAAAATTCTTACAGTGTATCTTGGAAAGCATAGCATTTCTCAGTAGCTGTGCAGGATGTGGAAAACAAGCAGTGTAATTAGGGAAAAATTCCCTACTGTTGAACAATTGCAAATACTATACCATACTATTTAAACATTTTTTTTTATCAGAAGACAGTCGTGACAAATAGTAATCAAATATCATTTAGTTCACTATAAGTTTAGGAGAGACAGATTTCCAGTTTAATCCAGGTCCAAAGAGAAGCAGATCCTAAAATAAAAAGTGGTTTAATTTCTTTGTGTTGTACTGCACTCTTTAATCTTTGCTTTCTTAGGGTCATGCACTTCCTTCAGATTGATGTTTTGATTCAGAGTGAAACATGTAATGGTTTCTAGTGAATATTTCCTCCCAATTCTGGCTTTAGAAAAGCAACAGCATGCACACTTTCCAGCACAAGTTAAGTAGATACCTGGAAAAATCCAAAGTTTCCTTATCCCTGTATTTGGTTGCACATCTTGGCAAACACCCTCCATATTTGTTTTTTTGAATGGTTAAACTGATTTTGACTTCATTCATTAAACTGTTTCTGGATTTACCCCTCCTGTGTATGATGAAACAAAGTAAATAGTTATAAGGAAGTGCAATTGTAAACTTAAGAAAAAACAAGAAAAAAGAGAAAGGGGCACATCTAAGACATTTAAGTAAACCCCTTCATCAATAATCAAAAAGTGAAAAAATGCCTGAGACATGGCTCAGTGGATGAGTCTTCAAAACCGTATCAGAATACATGATTTAAAAAAAAAGATTTGATTACTTTGTGATCAGGGTGAAACAGAAGCAAGGGCTCAGAGCCAAGCGACAGTGCACACTGAGCACTGACACTGACATTTTTTAAGCAGTGAGAGGTCACACCCTCACATGCCAAAGAGACTGTGGCTTCTCATTAATGCTGATCAGCACTAGGAAACTCTGTGGGATATTTAGAGAAATAGACATGCATTACAAAAACATATGAAAGCAAGATCGTGTTAACTCTTCTATTGCAGTGTGCAGAGTCTCAGTGTAAAGTGTAATTCCATGGCATTGCTGAAGCCAAGATCAAGTAAGTTATCGCTGTGCTTCCAAAACAGGTATTCTCTATTTTCAATCTTTACAAGTTCAAAACCCAGAAGTCACATCCTGATGGTGGACAGCAGTTTAACATTTGATTCCTACTGAGGGACTTAAATTACATGACACAGTGTCAGAGCCAGAAGCTTTGCTACACAAACCTATCCCTGCAGAAGAAAGCGCAACATTGTTGTCCTCTGCAGATGACAGCTCTTTCCGTCAGATGTGAATATATGTGATGTGCTAAAGCATAAACGAGAATTATGACAATTTTGTTTGTGTAATAAAACAGATGTCAAATAAAACATACTGGAAAATTACAAAACAAAACATTCATTACATTTGTAGCTTCCAGGGCGTCTATGTTCTCAGAAACGAGCAACATTGATCAGTGAATTGTGCCATATTGATTTCCACCACAGTACCTTATATTTACACTCCGTTGAGATTTGTAACAACACTCCATGGGTGAAAGACGAGCTGAATCTGAGAGGTTTCTTTATTTTCTTGAATCGGGGCTATATTCATACAGCTGGACATTTTAGAAAATTGCGTGAAGCACTTTTCTCACGGATATAGGAATAACATCTGGGATGTGAACCTACAATCCTCTAGGCTAGAGTCGTGCATCCTAACCATTATTCCATACCGCTGCCAAATCAAGTTCCATATGTAAATTATTAGTTCAGTGAAGCATTGGCAGAGAATCAAAAGTTAAAGCAAAGTGCATACACAGACTCTGGATGCATTTACGTTGCTTACAACCAAAATAACTCTCTTAATTTAGAGGCAGTAAAAAATGCATTAAGTTATTGGATTGCACTGTTATCAGGTCAGTCGTGCTGACACAGACAGCACACCAAGACTATTCAAGAGGGCAGGGCATGACCTTTGTACAGCAGTACTGGAGTCCTCCTGTTCTACAACGTGTACAAGTGTTTCTTCAAGAGACCAAGAAGGCAGCAATGTGTTTATCACTGAAACAAGTGAGTTAACGCTGATAAATGTGAGTGTAAATGGAAAGCCAAGGATTAATCTCAAATCAAAACGAAATCAAACCAACCTTTTCCCTTGAGCCCTAGTGTCCTCAGTTACTCCACTTTATTATTGACAAGGCATTATCAAGTGAGAGATACAATTGTGTCACCAGCTTCACTGATTTAGTATTAAGACTCACTAACCTTTCATTAGGTGTATGCGAATAACACAAGACTTTTAAAGGCAATCCATGAATTTCCCAATGCTCTAATCAGAACATTTATATCAACGAGTACCACTAAATGCACACACTATGTTCAAAAACCATGATAAGGTACAGCATGTTTAATTATTTAACTGGTCACAAAGCTAAAATGGAAATAAATAGACATCAGGGTTCCTGACTATCATGCTTGGGAAGCGGACTTAAACAGCAGCAGCATTACAACCTTGTGGCCTGATCTCATCAAACCCCAGAAACTAAATAATGTTGCTGCTGTACGTGGAGCTGGTAGACCAGCAGAGGGTGCTGTTTCCTCTGGTCCATAGTTGTCCAAGCAATGTCTCGGTGTGGTGAGCAGTAACACTGTGTTGTAGAAAGTACCGTACTTTGAATGAGATGATAAACCTGACTAAATTCAACCTTAGGCCTGCCTAACCCTCCTCCCCCTTTCCCTTGGTGAAGCAGTTTCTCACTTCCCTTCCAGATCTGTTGTACACTGGGCCTGCTAGTGCTTCAAGGGGATGCATCTCTTTAATGGGAATGAAGTGGGTCCCCATCTATGTGTAAAGTGTTTGGGAGCCTTTTAGGATGAAAAGTGATGTAAATATCAGGACCCATTGTTCAAAAATGTCTACAAAGGCTGTAAGCACAGGGGCAGCCTATGAGAACCTACAGTATGAGAAACAAATCAGAATTCTACCAGGTCTCTGAATGCTGTGGGGATGCAGAAACACTTAAGAGGTTTTCAACTTTACCTCTATGTCCAACCTTGGCCAGAAGGTGCAGCAGGGGCAATAGGACAGTATAGTTGGGAGAGAGGGCTTTGGCAGTGTTCACCAGGGTCTGGAGGAGAGCTTCACTTCCACCTTTGGAGATCATGTAGTGGATCCTGCGATCAGTCCCTGCAAAACACAGGCAGGGCACAAACAGAATGGGACCTCTTAATAACACAGCATGATCCTTTGTTGTGTGGAAATACCTTAAGGTCAACATGATTTAACAGATTTAGCTTCTTCATATTGTCATTTTAATGTTGGGTAGCTGTAGTAAAGCAAATAAAAGGAATGAGTGGTAGAGCAGCATACATGAATGTGTTGTGTGAGTGCTAAATGAATACAATTCAATTTAGTGTACTTTTATCTGGTTCAATTAAAGTGTAACATGTCGGTAAAGAAAACCTTAGCTGTGGATTTGACACTAACATTGCAAAACATTGTAAGGCAAGGGACTGCTACTAATAGGCTGTTAATATATATTGTATATGCATCCCACAGCTCTAGAACTGCACCAGAGGTGAGCATGTCATAACAGCAAACAAACTATTGAAGTGCATTGACCAAGAGCATTAATCCCCTTATGTCTACAGCATGTTTCCAGAGGAAGATGCTGCAGACAGATGACATTTTGGCTTCCGGCCAGTGGATGCCTGTTTTTGAGCAAAAGTTGTCTTTCGATGCCTCTAGGTGCCTGTCAAATGCCTCAGAGATCAGCCCTGGTTATGCGGACAACCAGGAATGTCACACTCTATTAGACCCCATGGGCGTGAAAACAAGCAGACAGCAGATAACACTGGCATGTGACCTGCCATTGTACTGATGCTGCAGAAGGAATTGATATTGGTTCTAACTATTGTGTCACAATTCGGGACAAGTAAAGAGTGTTCAATATGGAACAAGACGAGGCACACCAATATCCTTTACCCTCTGTATATATACATATATCTTACCCATTTATATCCTGCAGTTCCTAGAGCCCACTAGAGTGATAAACTACGTTTCCCAGCAGGCTGTGGATTATCATGGTCAATGGGATGTTAGCCTTGAGATAACTGAGCACAGGTGTCAATGAAAGCCTGTTCTCAGTTGTGATAAGGATGTGGCAAACATAAACCTGCTGTTTTCATTTCCACTCAATTTTTCAGACCAGTTTGGGAAATGTTTAATTAGAACTCTGGGAGAAGTAGTAGGTTTTGTTTGAAAATGCAGAAGTCAGAGGTCCATTGCTGGGAGCATGAACATCTGCTCAGCTTCAGTACTAAACACCCGTGTGCTGCCTCTTCCTCAAGCTACAAGACAGGCTAGCAAGACTGCCGCAATGGGGACCAATACCCCAACATGTCACACTTTGTACTTGATTTATATTATATTATATGTATTTATACATTTATATTATACCTATAATATAATGATTTATACTGTATTGTCGCGGTTCACGTGGGTATGCGCCCTCGCCACTGCTGCCTCAGGTCGGCCCACCACTGCTGGGAACTCGAACCCGGGACTCCGGCATCACTCAACAGGGACCCCGCCAGTTGAGCTAAAGAGAGATCTCCCTTCAACCCAGCGGCTGAGGTCCCTGCTATTCACAGGGAAGGGCCGTGAGATCTCCGTGCTGGTAAGCCGGCTCACACAACCTGCAATGTCGGCTGTATGCGTTACAGTATTACACATCCGTGACGCCTCTAATTAAGGGCTACACAGTGGCACAATGGTTAGCTTTGCTGACCTTAGGTGCTATTTGTGGGGAATATATATGTTCTCCCTGTGCTCATATGGGTTTCCTCCAGCTGCCCTAGTTTCCTCCAAGTAGGTGGTTTCTGGGAAAGTTAGCCCTGGTGTGAGAGTGTCTGTGTGTCTGCCCTGTGATGGACTGGTGTCACTCCCAGGGTGTGCCCGGCCCTGAGCCTGTTGCTGGCTGGTCCAGATTCTGGCTCCCCTGACCCTGACCCTGAATTGGAAGATGCAGTTTCTAACAAAACTGTAAAAAGAAACATTTTACTACATACTATAAGTAAAATGTGTAGGTGCAGTGTAATCTTATATGCATGCCACTCTATAACAGGGGTCTACACAACTGGAAGGTCAACTGACACTATACAGTAAACAGACAATTAAGGTAGAGCCTATGATTTAACTAATGTTAACTGAGTTGATCATTAGTCTCATCTATTCATTCCAATCTCAGATAGAAATTTTGCTTGTAAAGAGGTGACAGGGGGGGGGGGTTATTGCAGGTCTTGACAAAGCATAATTGGAGGTCTGATCAGCAGTAGGGAGGGACCAAATTTAGTACAAGAAAAACTAAAACTACATTGCAAGTTTGAATGAGATTATATTAATTTCATGCAGATACAATCAGTCCATCAGCCCCGCTGTCACTTTGCCCACTGACTGAATGACAAAAGGTCTTTTAATACCTGCTGTTATTAAATATGTTTGCAGATCTTTGCAGAAGCTAAAAGGTATTTTTTTAGAAACCCACTGACTAAGACATGATTGATTTCCTTCTCCTTGTCCCGTACTGTAAAACACAATGTCACACATGTCACACAGATAGACATTAATATATGTGGACCAAACTGTATTATTTCGCTTTTCCTTTTCAATGTTACTCACCAGCAGAAAGCAGCTCATCCAAAACATTAAGAATAGTGAGAGTGCCTTCAGTGTCACTGGGATTCTGCTGTAACAGAAGAGAATGATGTCACTCGTGAAAGTGTTAATTTAGTGAATTAGCAGCTCTATGGTCTATTCATTTCCCCTTGCGAAGAGCCATTATATATCAGCATTCTATTATCATCAAGACTGACAAGGATCCTACCTGCAAAGAATTGGGCACTTAGCCTGCTGTGCACTTTAGTATTAGTGCAGACATGCAGTGCTTTGAAGATCTTCATAAACGTATTTGAGACCACTGTATTTGAGACATGAACAATTAAATTGCAGTGAATAGATGAGACAATCAAACACACAAAAGTTTATAGCTTGTACTGCACACTACAAAGATTCACACAACATAGGAAACAAGGTAAAAAGAACTCATGAGCTGTAACACAAATAGAACATGCCTGGACATTTAAATGAGTTTCAAACAGTATGACAATCCCATGTGGAAACATTGCACACTCTTTCATTCTGGAACCTTTCTTTTTGCTTTCGTGCAATCTCACACAAAAAAAGAAGGATGCAGTCTTAGCATCTCTGAGAAAGAAATTGGATTTTTAAGCTAACCACCATCCTAGCACCAGGTAACAATTCAATACTAGAGCATCCAGGAACCTACTGTAGCAAATAATTTTTCCTTTTAAGAAAAATGTCTTTGCCTGACTTCGGAAATCTCGGCTAAAGGATGAATAAATACATGCATGCAGACATGAGTGTGCAGAACGGGCTCTGTCAGCTTGCTCACGGCAGGTGCATGTCTGTTGAACTGGGCTTCGCATCCAGCCAGCGCCCTCTGTTGGAATCCACAGTTCTTAAATGCACAGACAGGGAGGGAGGGTGCAGGGCTACTATTTACAAGCGTAGAGGCTGACAGGCTGTGCAGGCGGCCCTGCCACTGGGGCAGCACTGTGGAAGCACTGCGTCTTTCTCTCATGCCTTTCACGTCTTCGTGAAATGGCTGGCCTGGGGAGGGAGGTGGTGTCGTACCACCTTGACAGGACAATGGCTTTGCTATCTATAGATTCAGGCTGGCTGTGACTTCTATTCTCCTCCCCTTTCCAAGTGAAGTGTGAATGTTCATTAAAAGTGATAGTAACATTTGATTTCTAAATGGTGCCAAGGCCGAGACCCCGTGATTCAGTATGTGACGAAAGGGAAGATTTTTTCACATTGAACTATAATTGCATATACAGTACATCCACATCAAATGGCAGACAGATTTGAAGTATAAACAGGTATCTAATTAGTCAGAGTTTATGAAAGAACAGAACTAGAATGAGAAGAGAAATATTTGAGCATAAAACCTCTTGTGATCTAGAGAATTGTCTTACCAGAACAAAATGCAGTACAAAACTAAGACAGATCATCCCAGGTAATAAATTACTCTTGCATCCACATCACACTGTCAACTCACAGTACACTATGACAATACCAGCTAAATCGCCTCCCTTTAAAATTGTCAATAGGTTTGTCCCCCTAAAACTGTGATCTTCGCATCTGGTCTTGGAGATCTTCTGGATTTCATTCTTTCTAAGTCCATAATGACCTAACTGAAACTCTTTACACAGGAGCTTAAGTGCTTCACAAAACCTGCTGGACCTTCCATTACCAGAACTGAGGATCTGTGCACAAATGAAATATTTAACACTGCATTTTATGTACTTACTGACGTTTATTTACAAAACAGTGGTTTGTAACAGAAGGTCAGCTCTATATTTTTGTTTTATAGAATCTCTGTAAACCCTTTGTTATGCTCAGGGCTGGATTTTGGTGTTTGTGGGCCCCGGGCAATTTCACTCCAAAATGTGCTAAAAGAGGGGTAAACACCAACTGAATTGTGTCGATTGACATGATGCAACTATTCTAATGCTAAACCTCGTGATTGATGGAGTGAGTCGAGCGACTGTCACTTCAATACTTCTAGTTTTAGTACAGCCGCTAGATAGCGAATGATTATTGATTGGGAGCACCTAGAGTCGATCGTAAGCATGTTGTTTCAGCTCATTTTTCGTTAGTCACTAGTGTTTCCCTCCTTCGTAGGCCGTACAAATTTCATAGGCCCTAGGCACAGTGCCTACACTGCCTAATGGGAAATCCGACTGGTTATGCTGAAAAAGACTTTCTAATCATGCTACGTTGATTATCTACTAACATTGTACAGTATGCTACTTGAGCAGCTCAGGTCATGTACTGTATATGGGGTGTGCTAGTTGGCTGGCCAGGTCTGGAGCGCTCAGCTGCAGTGCGTCACACCTGTGGACCCCCCTTCCAGTTCCTGTTACAAAGGCCAAAGTCTAAGCCTCTTCTGAGCACGAAGTGAAAGGATTTCATTCAGAACAGAGAATGTTTGGGCTAAGCTTTTTACTGACTATGTAAAGCACTCTGTGATGGTTTCCTACAAAGAGCACTCTTCAAAAGCAAAGTTGCAAAGTACCATATTGTTTGTGCAAAATCACACTACTGTATGGCACATAAGGGTGTGTATTGTGGTGGGCCATCGTTACAGCCTCACAGCACCAAAGGGTGACCATGTTGCTTAACTGAAACAGCACCTTGAGGAGGGAGAGCAGGGGGATGCATTAGGAGAAACAGGGTCAACCACAATCTTACAGATGCCATTTATAGACTCACTCCGCCCAAAAAAGTACTGTTCTCATTCTCAAGCCAAACAAAGAGCTTATGTCATACTTTCACTCCAAATTTAAAACAAAGGGACCTACAAAGTATAGCATAATGTGTCCACTTTTAGGTCAAGGGTCAGCTTCACGGGATCTGGATCCAGAGGACACATTATCCTGTCATGAATCACCCTTTAGCACTAGTTATGCAGAGCATGGGATGAATGCCATACTCACTACATAGGTAGCCGCAAAGAAACATCTGCTGTCTGAGATTTCTGTTGCAGCTGTTTCAAAGAAAATACACATGGCCTCACTGTAATTGGTGTCAGCAAAATCCTCCCTGCTCTGATCATCTGAAATGTCTTTGGATTTCATTTAATGATTGAGCAGTCCTGTCAGATGCACAAACATTGTCATTTGTCTTTTTCCTCAAGCGGAGGTACTCATAAAGGTGCTTCCCACCCTGTTGTTCAGCGCATTTGAAATCTGGCCTTGTCTTGGGCCCTGTCTTATAGAGACCTCAAATCAGCTCAAGATATGTGAATAGGACTTGACCACCTATGATCAATTCACAAGCAAACATATGAGAAGTTCATTCAAATGAAGAATCGCAAACCATTTTGTGATCCCAACACCAGTATGTGTTCAGAATGTGCATTGGGGTAAGTGTTTTTCATGTATCCCGATGAACACAGCTGAAACACAGGACTAGGGGTTCATGTGACAGGAGGCAAGTCTCCAAAATGTGCAAAGCACACAGAGCATGACACCCATTAAAACCGACTGAGAAAAAGATGTCAGAAACATTTATTGCCATATCCTGTTTTGTGCCCCCTTTGTGAACCTTGCAGGGCTGAAGGGCAGTTATGCATTTATTTATGTTCTACAGTATCTGATTCATGCTGAAGTTATGAGCAGTCACTGAAACTATAGAAAGGGTGTCAGACTAAATTAGTGCAGGACTCCAGGGTCTTCTAGTCTTTCTGCTTCCACTTACTTCAGATTCACAGAGACTGAGATCTACAGAGCCTAATTATTTTTCAAGACCAAAGATGAGCTCTAAAATTACATAAGTAATGATAAATGACAGCTTTAAGAAGCAAAATGAAAAAGTTTTATGATGTTTTGACAACAATAAATTATGCACAAGAAAGCCATTGGTAAAATGCAATTATTGATTTAACGTTTTTAGATGTGTTTTCAATGAAAATAGATCTTGAAATGCCTTGAAAGCCACAACATGACTGACATCCACTAATTCCCCAACCAATCTTTTGGTTTCTGCCAGGCTTGTTCAGCCATTTTACATCATATTTTATCTGGCTGCTTTTTGTATTTTGACCATCAAGCGCTTCTAGCAATCAGTTTGTATTCTAGCTGTAAAATATGTCTTATTATTTACAGGAAGGCAATTATTTCTATAGGAGGCATGGTGATGCAGGGGTTAGCATTGCTGCCTCATAGCACTGGGGCTCTGGGTTCACTTCCTGCGATGCTGTCTGCATGGAGTTTGCATGCTCAACCTGCGTTTGCATGGTCCGGATCCTGTGGTTTCCTCCTACAGTCCGAAGACATATTGGTGGGTTAATTGGCACCTGTAAAATTGGCCCTGGTGTGAATGCGTGCCCATATCTGTGTGTGCTTAGCAGTGGACTGGTGTCCCATCTAGGGTGTGCCCCACCTTGTGCCTGTTGCTGGTCAGTTTTTGCTCTGGTTCCTCCACGAGCCTATGCTTGATGGATGGATATTTATACCTATTAAATGTTTGCTTTTGTACGTTGTAACTTTGAGGGTGATGTACCTAACTTGATGATATTAGGATGGCAGTTTGCTTAACCATGTAAACTTGCTTTAAACCTGTGTTTCAATCTGATCGGTGCTTTGGACTGAATAACAGTAGAAAAAGTTCATTTTTATTTATTTTTATGTATTTTATTAGTGTAGACTAAGATTTTGATAGGCCTGGGTTTTAGTCTCCTGTGCCCAGAAAGGCTTTTTTTGTGGAGCACTGAGGTACAAGTTATTTTTGTCCTCATAGTCTGTGAGTTGTATTCATTCATTCAAACAATGAATTGAGTCACTAAAACTGCATGAATTATCACTATACTGTAGATGTACTTAATGTTCCATTTGTGTTACAGAGCCCATTGGATATTGGTCAAACATTTTGAACTTAAATGTGCCTTACTTTTCCAGACATATGTATTTTTTCTAGAAGGGCTTCCAAAGTTTTTCATTCTTCCTAGAATTTTTTCCTCTTTTCTTGACTTCATATGAAGCCCAGTCAATCCAAAAATCATTTGGGAATTCAGTTGCGTCTTCATGAATCTAGACCCATGCAATCTTACAACTGATTTCAGAAAAACGAAAATCTGTGAGATTTTCATGGCAAAATAACTTATTGGGTTTTAGTTACTTGTAATCTTTGCATTTTAACATTTTGTTCTTGTTTGGATTATCTCATATGATAAACATTCAGATTGCTTTGCTTTGCCCTACCAATTCCATGTGTCTTTCTTCATGAATCCCATTTCAGGCTCCAACAGCTACAAACGAAGGCTGGTAATTGAGTTACAATATAGCCCCTAATGATTTGAAAACTAAGACTGTATTACCTCCAGGAGGTCTGGAGAGACAGGGAGGTAGGGAGGGGGTGTTGGGGGGGTGGTGACATCCCTTCTTGTCTAAACAGAACTTGTCCAAAGCCAGAGCTGCCAAAGTGTATTTCAATACAGCCCAAGTCATGCTCTCAACATTGACAAATTCACTGTCTTGAGACATCCAGTTGCCAGACATGTGCCTTGTAACTGTGGATTTTTAGAGTTCTATTGAAAACTAATCTACATTCATTGAATACTTCCATGCACGGCTCTAGTTCTATTAATGACATATTCTTTCCTTAGAAAAAAAAACACATTTCAGTAAACTCATCTAATTTCATAATGTGTTCACTGTAGAAAAGCGTTTTTGGCTGCATTATATGGAATTATAAAGGAGAAATTGTGAAGAGGCGGTGTTGAGTTATGTAATAAAATGAGACACTTAATATAGTGGCTTTTTGTGCAGTTTTGAGTCTTAAAGTAAGAATTTCTCACTACAGTACTTACTATAACAAAAGATCTAAAACGCTGTGTGAGGTAGTGACAGGTGCCTTTGGAAAAAGGCTTGGTTAAAATGAGACACACCCGGTCTAATGAGATGACTGGCATCCAGGGAGTCACTCTCTCCAGATGCCAGATCTCATCCGGACTTTCTCAGATTGAACAGTGTAACACACTCCACACAAGTGGAGGTAATTCTTTATACAGGGGGTTATGGAAGTGTGGAACATCCATTTTATCCTGGTTTCTTTCAAGCAATGGCTGGATGAGATCCTCAGATCAATTAGCTACTGTCTACTAAACGAGTTAGATGGACCAAACAACCTCCTCTCGTCTGTAACATTTTTTTATGTTCTTACAACTACCCTAATAAATTAAAGGAACTTAATGTTTCAGCAATTACGGCAAGATGCTTGTGGTAGGGTCCGGAAGGCTCCTAGCTCCCCCACTGGTACACTGCCAGCCATTCTGAACAGCTCACACACCTCCTGTTCCTTTGTCCCCTGGGTAAAATGGAAAAACTGAGCTAATACTGGTGATTCAGACACAGTTCATGTCCTAGTCTATCCAAGTCATCCTGGCTAAAATTAACGAATTGGCTAACAGTCAGTTGAATGTGCATTGACACCAAAGTAGGTATAGAAAACAGGATGACAAGGTTTGTTCAAGAAATGGCATACAAAGTTTCTGCATATAAAGATGGCTTGGGTGGGACAGCATGAGACTGAAAATGATTTCTCTAGGCCAGGGGAACAATGGATAAATAGTCTGACTATGGAGCAGAAACTTCTAGATTCAATTCCTTTGTCACTCAACTCTTTATCGAACAGGATAGATAACAGTTACATGACGTCTCAATTGTAACTGTTCTTATGTAAGAGCTGAAGGTCCCTATTTCAATCCCAGTTTTCTGTATTGAGTTTACAAGTTTGCATTTAAAATGACTGGTTTGTCTGCAGCTACAGTATGTAAGAGCTACAGTACTCTCCCTGGGATCCTGCAAGAAAAAGCAGGATGAGATGAAGATATTGAAACACAAGGATCTCAAAAGATTTAAAAATGAAATGTTCTATAAGGATTATCTATTGTAAACTAATAGTATTTGCCCTAGCAATGATCTATGAAAATAACGTGCACGTTAACTCTTGGTCGCAAGTTATCACCACTTTAGTTTGTTAAATACTGTATATTACTATATCATTTTAACCACTGAGCATTTACAAAAAGGATATTGAGGTTTTGCATACAAAGACATCTTTTTTCATACTGCAGTAAATTTAGGGTTTTACAGCCTTCTTTATGAAGTTATATACCTCTTCTCTCTGTGTTGTACATTAGTGTCGGGGAAACCCATGCCTGTTCTGGTCCATATGAAAATATGAACAATGAAAAGACAGCAGCAGCTACAGTGAATATTACATGAAAACAAATGAACTGATAACTGTCACATGGGTCTACTGTGAGCAAGGACAATCGTGCTTAAAGAAGAGAACACAAAAATAAACAGTTTGATCACATTAACGCAATTTCTCTCCCTGCTTTAGTTCAGTTTCAGTTATCAAACCATTTTATGTCGTTTCTCCTTCATTGTGACAAAATATATGTATTGCTTCATGAACAACAATTACAATAATTAAGGTCATTAAGGTCATGTTCCTAACAGATTTTCCATGGCTGTCAAACCATCACAGTGTCAATAGCAGAGGAATCTTCGCAATTAACAATGTAGACAATGCAGTACATAAAACATTTTAAATATTGCTATTGAATTATCCAAATCAACTATTGTGCCTATAGCCTATTGTGCCTATAGCTTCCTTCTTTTACTGTACCAAAAATAATCCACTTTTATTAATTTAAAAATTAAGTTCTAGTGGAAAAAAACATTGTAGTGGAAAATGTTTCACACCTATGCAAGCATGTTTTGTTCATTTCATTTTTTATTATAGTTTTAAGGCAATCTGGAACAAAATTTGCTGGAACCAAAAATCACCCTGATGGTTGTGAACCTCACCCTGCTAGCCCTGCTAAATGAAGTGGGGCTTTCTTTTGTATGGAAGAAGATGTCCCTGCTTTTTAATTTTTTTTCTAAGTCATTATGCATAGCAAGACATGAATACAATGTTCAGAATGCACTGTCTGTATTGCCACATGTAACTTTCACACTGTGGCCTAAAAAAGCAGCTCTACTGTACAATGCAAAACAATATATTCTATTGCTTTTATGACTAACTGCATTACTTTTGCAGACAATGTTTTTCAACTCTTCAAAGTAACCTTTAATAAAAGCCCCAGACAAATAAATCAATTAATTCATGAAAACATACATCAACACTGGAAAACCACCAGACAGTCTGACTCTTCTCTATTGTACAGTACAATTCTGCTCACAAAGAAATCATCAACATTCATTAAAGTTTCTGTGACAGTAAGACACAATGACCTATCCACAGCAGGTGCATATAGGAATAATTCTCACCATGGAAGGAAAATAAAATTCAGAATCATATATTTCAGAAATTAAATATTAATTACAGTGAAAGCTGACAAACTGTATACACAGCTGAATCTGCATCAGAGAAAGGCTTCACCTCATGACTTCCATATAACTATTAATTGACCTGTAACTTCTGTCTGTGGGCTGAATACAAGTTGAGCTATCACTACATTCCAGGTGCTCGTGAAAAATTCAGACAGACACAAATTAGAAAACATGAGATGTTCTGCTGCGTGTGTTACTGCAGAAAAGACCTGCAGAAAAACGAAGGACGTTGTTTGCACAAACAACCAAAATAAATAAATCAATTGACATAGAAGCGTAGTAGTAGCTAAAATACCCAGGGAATTAAACTTTTTGGCCATTTTTCATTCACTCAGGTGCTGCTGCTGAGCTTGTTACCACAGCCCTCTCCGCACACCTTTTCGCTCTGCTGCCTTCATGTTCAGCCCCCACACGTGGCGTCTCTTACCTGCAGTGTGGACAGCAGGACCTCCAATCCACTGCCCCCTGCCCCAGCCATGCTGGGCCGCACTCTGTCTGAAAGCAGGAAACAGAGGGAATCACAAGGCTCTCCTTTCTGTCCGGCACCCAAAAGCACAGCTCCACACTCGAGGGCTAGTTTAAAAGGAAGGAGGGGCAGTGCCGGCGCTGTGTGTATGTGGTGGGGGGTTATCTTACAGTCTGAAACCCTATCTCCAGAGATAAATCCATCAGCCCAGTTGTGCCTGGTCGGTGAGATGAGTTTCCTATATAAAGGGCCTGACAGGCTCAGGGATTAAGGAGAGCTCAGTGCTCCAGAAGAGAATGCCAGTTTTTTTTTTTTCGGAGAGAGATGGGGAGGGGGCAGCCTTGGCCCGTAAACGTGCAGTGTGGACATGCTGGCTTGTTCACAAGGCACACTTTGACTTTGGAGGTTATACAAGAAATAAGAACAAAAATGTTTTCGCTTTGCCTCAAATGCTAACTAATCTTGTCGAGTGAGCGTTAGTTGTTTCAAAGTAATAGTTATAGTTACACAAAGTTATAATGTTTGTGTATTCTAGAGTAATAATCTCCTCCATCAAGATTTTAGTGTAAGACTTTTTCAATACTGCTCTAATTATAATTCACATCCCATTGGTGGTCTTAAATTCTTGGCAGAGGACAGTTTTAATCTGCAAACAGTAAAACATCACACACCTGACATTAAATATGAGGCTTTAAATATGGACCATTGTGTCCTTAGCAAAATGTCTTTTCAGATTGTCACTTTAGATTGTATTTAAAGTAGGTGCTATAAATGTCAGTTAAGAACATCAAAATCAAAATTTGAAAGGAAGCAAACCTTTGACAACTGACAAAACAAGGCACTACATATTTGTTTATTGAATTATTTGCTTTACTATAATTCCTTGGTTTGAATTAAAAAGTTCCCCTTGACATTTTCTTCAATTTATTAAAATATAGGACGTTGAGAGACAGTACATAATATAGAGCGAACAAAGTTCACTCTATAATAAAATGTGCAAAAAAAAAAGAAAACAGACAAGCCTCAGGCAAAGCTTTGGCAGCATAGAATGCCAGCCTGTACTGAGAAAGAGGACTCCTGCTTATCAGGACCACATTTCCAGGAGCCATCAGAGCGTGGTGACATCTCTGTCGTTGGGGCTGCTCCTCACGCTGAGGTGAAACAGACAGGGAGAGTGAAGGAGAGAGTGGAAAGACAAAGTGACCAGCATGAAGAGAGTATCTAAACCACACGAGCTAGAATACACCTGCAGATAAAACGGAAACATGTACTGTTTGTCACTCTCAGCAAAGTCACTTCAAGATAATTATGTGTGTGCATTTGGTTGGGTTTTTGGGGTTTGTATGTAGAATTTTTTAGACTTACAGTAGGTCAGCCGAAGACTTTCCTGGCAAGTCATTTCACTTCCACAGCTGGACAGTCTGAGTTTGAGTTCTGCTCCCCCAAAATGAAATTGAAATTCTTAAAAAGTCCTTTGAAATAAGCACTCCATATTGAGCATTTATCATACTGACAAACTCTCAAGGCGAGCTTTAATCAACCAACATTCAGCATTCAGCAAAAAACTATAAAAAGACTATGAAACAGAATATCAGCAAGAAATATTTTGTCAGATTCAAAACCTGTAGGCCAGAAACTCAGATGCAAAGGTTAGATTTCATGGACACAGATTAGTTCCAGATCTGAATCCACCTACTAAAATGTATGTTAGATAGTCCAAGGCAAGTGATGATCAGGGTTTGTGGAACTGCTACAATATGTGTTCTTTAGGGACATGAAGTCACTTTTCTAATGTCTGAAGGGCCGTGAAAGCTCATGTAACAGAGCACTCTACCAGAGTTTACAAAGAAACTAGTAATGGTTTATTCCAGGAAATAATTCAGGAAACCCGAAATGTTGTGTTTCTTTTCTTCTCTTTTCAACTTGGAATAAACCTTTACTTGTTCCTTTGTAGCCTGCGCCAGCTGATGCAGCTCCCTACTTGATCTACTAGAGTTTTACATGTCTCACAATAAGGACAGAAAGGATGATTCTCTTGTGTCAAGAGTGTTTGAGCCTAACCCAGTTCTTTCCCAGTTTCTTAAGAAGGGAAGAGAGTTTGAGAGCCACTTGTGCTTCCAGGAAATGGTGAGGTGAAGCGCAGCATGTTTCTGACACAACAGAAGGAAGCACTGTTACAGAGATAGCCTTGCTTTGGAAAAAATCCTTGATTTGGTTTACTTAGGCCAGCGAGCCAGCTAAATCACAGGACAGGGGACATCAGCGGATTACCAGCTGTACGAGCACTCAGATCATGAATGTGATTCAATTTCCCTTTCAAAACTGAAAATTAGCGCAAGCTGTGTCACATACTGTACATTTATTTGGCACTTTTGCAGTGACAGAATGAAGGATCTCACTGAAATCCACTGCAAAGTACAAAATGTTGAGAGTGACTGTCCCCTCTCCTATTTTTGTCTCTGAGATCAGAGAGTAGAGGGGTGGCTGTAACTTGAGGAGTGATGACAGCAAAGCATTTAAAGCAGAACTAACTGGCCATAAACCATCAGAACCCGAAGTCCCTATGATGAGACAGAAGCAAAAGACTGTTCAAGCAGAGGGCATTCCTAGACACATAATTACAGAGCATGATGCTATGAAGGCTTGTAGGGACATACCAATTTGATGGTAGCATGTTCAAGAGTTATTTCAATATGTTTTAAGTGATTGTTTTTAGCACAGCCCAATAATGTAACTGTGATTGTTCCGTAGGCAGCAGTACTCAGAAGTGGTCAGGGCTCAGTATTTGGAACCAGAAGGCTATGGGTTCAGCTACCAGGTGGAGCACAGCTGTAGCAATATATGCAAATATAAGTTGTTTTGAATTAAAACCTAAAATATTTTATTAAATTATACCTCATTATGCAGAGTTAATTACAGGTAATTTAGTGAATGGTTGTGGACTATTTTTTTTTTTCAAAAACGGAACAAACTTACAAAACATTTCTCCCTTCCCAGTCCCACCACCTCCTAGCCATGAAACCTTGCTGAAAAAAGGATATTACTGCTTTAGGGGTCGTTCTCAGGTCCTATGGATGCAGAAATCAAGTGTATGAGCATTCAAGACAGAAAAAAAGAGACACTTCCTAACACAGAGATTTGTACAAAATTCCCAGTGCTACTGAAACGGACGCAACGGGATGCTTTATGAAATAGGAATTCTTGGATCATTAAGCTGCCAGCAACCAAACATGAAAGCTGGGCACTCAAATGAAGTAAGTTACAGATTACCAGGATTGTGGTAATGACAAAATAGTAGCCTCAATCCCTGATTTAGTTCCTATCTCAATTATAAATGTTTTTGACAGTTATGCAGGAAATGAACAGCAGCTTGTTTGGTGTGTGGGCGGGTTCTTCCAGTAAACAATGCTGTCTGATAGCTGTGTTTAAGGCCTGGCTGACCCCAGACAGCAGGTTTGAGCAAAAGGGGGGGATCTGGGCTGGCTGGCAAACACGGCCCGCGTGCCAATCAGACACAGAAAGAGGCATCTGTGCCCTAATTTGTCTGTACTTCTGATGAGGTGCAAGTGCCTGAGGTTCCAGTTTTGCAAGACAGGATAGATTAATAGTTCAAGTTTCAACAGGGAGTGTATTTTGATAGATGTAGTATATCCTTGTCAGAACATAAAAGTTCATGATTCAGTTTCAAAGCCTGTCTGGCTACTACTGTGGACACTCTGGTTTGTTGAACTGTAAACATGGCCTCTCATTCATTTTCATGGACAAAGCAGGGAGAAGCTCACTGGGCAACGATTTATTTGGTTTGTTGCTCCTTTCTCCACTCATCTTTTTCCACCCTCCATTTCCATCCTGTGTAATAAGAAGGCTGCAAATGGTAATTCAATTAAACTACAACAAGATTTAATAAAGACCTCTCCCCTTTCTTATGAGTTGCTTTTGGATTTTAAAGGATTCTTGAAATATACAATGGGTTACAATCAAACAGGAATTAAGCAAACAGAGCGAAGACATGTAATTCAATATGCCGTAATAACAGTAACTATGTGTAAAGATACTGCATGTGTAGCCCTTTGAAATATGGAATATAAACAGGAGGAGGAACTGAATACCCCCTGTGAGTCATGTCTGGGATATAACACTATCTGAGCAGGTCTTTATTTGATCTTGAATTGGAAGAAGGCAAAGTCAAGGTCTGTGTAACAAAAATGGGAGAGTTTTTCCCTGTGGTCAAGTTGGTACAGTACATTATCTCACAGAGCTTTACAATAAAACAAAGGAGACAAGGTGGAGTATTTTTAAACTGGATTCATCCCAACCAAGTGCAAAGGGATGTGGACAATGCTGGGCTCTCTTCCACAAATTGTCATGTCACTCAAATTGTCATGTTGCTGTTACATGGAACAGATATTGCTGCTCTGGGATCAGTCCAGAGAAGAGCGAGCAGATAGATACTGGGGCTTAATGGATTATCCTACACTGACAGGTCAAAGGAAATGAACCTTTCAGGTCTTAAAGAGGAGACTATGAACCTAATCCGGACCTGATTTAAGTATTTAAAATCCTCAAGAGCAAAGAGACAAAGTCAATCTAATGGGCTTCAGAATCGACAGTGAAACATGAACCAGGGGACACTGGTATCAACTATATGGAAGTGCATTGTAAATCAGGAACAGGGAGCACCTCTTTACCCACACAGTAGGTTTAGTGGGAGTCTGGATAAGCTACCCAGCCGTGTTGTTGAAACTGACACTGGCCTCCTTTAAGAAAGAGTTGCGTGAGATCCTTGGATCGATAGGCTACTAACAAGCAAATGGGCTGGATGGGCTGGATGGCCCTGTTTTTCAAAATTTCTGGCACTGATTTATATTTTATATGTGACAATATGTCTGTCTCTTGAAAACAAATAAAATTATGCTGTTTCTACAACAGCTGAATGCTCTCTAAGTGTCCAATGTGAACTGAAACAGGAATGGGACTGGGATAAGGAAAATATTGTAGATAGAAGTTTATGTTCCTGAGCCAAGGACACAGGGAAAAAATAAATGACCTTTGTGCTTTCTTACCTGTGGCAGCTATTCCTTCGCCCTCTGTTAAACCCCAGAGCCAATGCAATTAAATTCTTAATGTACAAGCTTGCTGTGACTAACAGTTGTAAGTAAGAGCTTTCAAAGATGCCATTTCATTATAACAATGGCTTGCA